AGCAGCTTTGGGGAGGGTGTGCATGGGGGCGTGGGGAGTGGATCTAAAGCTGGTCTGGGTCTGAAAAGTCTGTTTTACCTCTACCTCTACCTTGCGCAGCAACATTTCAGCATTTATATCTGTCGGTGATGTTGAACATGAATTTGTTTTTCCTTGTTTTCCATACGGTTAGTCATATTTATTTTTTAAAACGCTGATGGTTTTTATTAATTTCCTCCTTAGATCAGAAACTGATATTGCTGAATGACACCCGTTGTCCTGTTGTCATATTTGACAGTTTCTTTTAAAAAATAAAAAGTATTTAAAAACCTGGGTAACTAACTTACCTTTTCAAAAGGAAATTGTCGAGATGAATAAACAGCAACAACACAAACCCACAGCTTTTTTTTTCCAGAGGGATGTTATCTGAGGAGTCATCTTTGAGTTCCTCTACATCCATTTCAGTATTTAACACATTATTACCAATGCTTTTGGAAGAAACTGGCATGGAGCAGCAGGCTGGGGGTTTCCTGTGTCTCCTCTTTAAGGAGGGCTGTTGGTCCCTACCTGCCATGACACAACGGGTTAGTGGTGCTCAGTCTTGCCCCATTTTGTATTTTAGTTTTCCCTGCTAAATGGGAAGTCGTGATGGTTACCACTACAAAACACATTACTGCATAGAGAAGAGCTTTATGCTTTCGCATGAGAGGGAATGCCAGAAGAAAACAAACCTTCTCCTTTGCTTGCCTGGCAGTAATTCACTTTTGAGGAAACAAAAAGGTAAACGTAATCCATGGCATTAATCTCAGACCGATGAGCTGCCTCCATGAAGAGTGCCTGGACTTTCACGTGTGCGTGGTATGACAGCTACGTATTTTCAGGGACAATTCTCTATTTGTACAACCTATAAACGGGGCTGAAGCATTCTGCAGCTGGCTGAGATGATGCCACCCTGGCTTTCCTGGTCATACAGCCCGGTGGTGGTTCCCTTCTGGGCAGCATTTTTTAAAGCATATTTTCAAACATCATTCACATAGCACTAGAAAGACTCTTTCCTGCTCAAATGTTAATATTTTTGTAAGCCCTTATACTTTCTTTCCTGGTGACTGGACTTGGGAGCGAGGTTTGTTCAAATTCCTGCAGTAAACTCTTGTCCCCATCTTCTCGGTTGTGGTTTTGGTGTTGCTTGTGGGTGGATGTTGGGTACATGAGCCCATTTTGCAAAATTTCCTCTGTTATTCTTTCCAAATACACTACCTGGAGGGTGATCTGAATTTGACATGAATGCTCGGTTACCTTGCAATTGCAGGTTGGACTGGTCGTGGCTTAGAAAATGATACAAGCTGAAAGGGAGGCTGGGGAGGAAAGCAGAAAGCTTTCCTTTGCTCTGACCTTTAGAGAAATAATGTAGTGATATGAGGGGGAAATAAGTCTGCCCAATGATCATCCCTCTGCATCCCAAATGAAACGAGGAGCCTTTGACAGTGGGAGAGGTAAAAATACCTACCTCTCTGTCTTGTGCTATTTAGTGTAACCATGTTGATTTCTTTTGTCTTCTAGCTCAGCACGAGAAGGGATGCCTGTTGCCTGGTGCTTTTCTTTACATTATAGCTGCCAAATAACGAATCTGAGCTGTTTTTCAAGAATTACATTATTTTGGGGTGTGTGGGGGAGAGAACGGAGGGACAGAGGGTGCAGTATCTTTTGGTACAGATGTAAACCATACGATGCACCCACACACACTCAAGCAAAACAAAGTCTCTCATCCCCAGGGCTGCTGAATTACAGCGGCAAGCTTTTAGTGTTCCCTCCTGCTGTGCCAGGAGGCACGCAAACAATGCTGGCTTTCCCCTGCTCTTCGTTTTTATAAAGCTTGGTTTTCATTTCTCTCTTAGTTGGCGTTTCTCTGGGGGAAGGAGCAGTGTTCTTCGGAGAATCCACCTGCCCGTCCTGCTCTTAACGTGAGCCGTACCTGTCGCGTTTGTGAGGGAAGGGAAACATGTGGGCAGTGCAAGGATGGCACTGATGATCCTTCTAAGACTAACGCCATGGTTAGACGTTTTAAAACAGGGTAATGCACAGGGCTGATATTCTGACAGTGTTGGAACAGCCCTGAATGGTGACAGCCGTGTCCTCATCTGGCAGCACTCATTTAGAGTTGCTTGTTACAGTGAAGCCCACTTCACCTCCCCACCTCGTCCTCTTGAACTTGGACTGGGCACACTGTGCTGGGGGCCCTGCTGGAGCAGGGCTTGGGGACGGGGCCTCCAGAGCTCCCTGCCAGCCTCAGCCATTCCAAGAGTCTATGAATAAAAGACCATGTCTACATCTACTGCATGACTCAGAAAATTAAAAAAGAAAAAATAAGCATCTTGAAATATAAAATACTAAGATTTATGTGATGAGTCCCTTCAGTGTTGACCTCTTGTGTAAAAATGAGGAATTTCTCAGATTTTCTCTTTAAAATCAAATATGAATTTTTGCAGGAAATCTTTGCCCCTCAGAAGAAACAAACAAACAAACAAAACAAAACAAAAACATTCCCTAGTTTGACAGTAACCTGAAGTTCCGGAATTTCAATTTCAGATAATAACCCTGTGGTTGCATGATGTGATTTTTCATTACATTTTCCCAGTTTGTGGGGATTTCCCACTGTGACTTTTTGGCCATATCTGAAATTGTGTTTGCTGCAGGACAACAAGAGGTTGAACTCAAAGACATTGAAATTTCTGCCATGTGTGGGCATCAAATTCAAGACAAAATGAAAACAATAGAGACCAGTCTACCAGAAAAGTGTTTGCAAATATAAATATATGCTAGGAAAGAAAATTATCAGCGGGCAATCCCCGCTGTCTCTGCTTTGGGCACAGAGGTTCCCTGCGCCATGCTCATACGATGCTGTAGCAATGGGGATGTGCAGGATGAGTTTTTCATCTTGACTAGCTGGAAGTGGGCCAGCAGCCCAGGCAAGCAGGATGTCTGGGCAGCGAGCTAATAGCTCCATTTTCTGCACTGCTCCACAGCTTCCTTTTTCCATTCCCAATTCCTGACTGCAGATTCTCAATTCCTACCGTACCTGGAAAGCAAAGGGAAAACAACCAAGAGGATTTTTAACTGGCAAGGCAAAGCTCACTTCCCAGCAGCTCCCTGAAGTTTGTACTTGTTCAGGTTCTGCCACTCTTCTTCTGTTCTTCTGAAGTTTTATCTGTGCAGTACTACTGACATTGCTGGCACGGCAAACACGACTGTTTCGCTCAACAGAAGGCTGAAAACCTGGCCAGCTGAAGACCTTTGGCTAGGCTGATGTTGTGTCTCTTTGTAGGCTGTGCAGGCTTGGTAGAGAGCAAGTTTTCTTCAGAAGAATACACCATTTTCCTAACACTTATCTGATGGCTCCCTCTAGGGAGAGAGGAGCACTGATACTGACCTACTTCGCAAACTGGAGCTCTTGGATTCAGTCACTTTTAGCCCCAGAAATGCTTTGTTACTCTCCTCTCCGTTCTGTTTCTTGCCTGTTCAATGCCTTCTTTCTCATTGTCTAGCTCAGTGCTGGGATGAGTGCTGCTGGAATATGATTTTTTTCCAGTTATCTTCTTTGCATTTCAAAATTATCTTCTGTAACCCACCACTGGGTCTGCCCATGTGCACCCAAACCACCTGTCCCGGCAAAACATAAAATGTTAAGGCTGACAAACAGAAAAGAAAAGAAAACAAAGAAACAAATAGGGAACTATTCTGAGCCAAGAGAGAGATCTGAAGCTTCCTGCTTCCATCCGAAGTGTTAACAGCTCCGGGAAAAAGCCACTGGGTGAATGTTGCCCAGTGCTAACTTCAGACAAGTAGGATCTGCTATCAGGAGGGGAGCTTTAGTTTTGCAGGGAGTGTGAGACTTTAGAGTGTGACTGTTAATATTGTGTCTTTTAAAAGTGCTCTGTCGTTCCAAAAATACAGCAGTTGATGGAATTGAACATTGACATGTCTGGCCCAGGACTGTGTTCCACCAAATAAATAGTTTACGATGAGTTTTTCAGCACTGACTTAGCTGTTTACCTTAAAGTCTACAGAAAAACTCCCATCAGTGGGCTGCGCAGGGAAGTGGCTGAGTCACCATCCCTGGAAGTATTTAAAAGATGTTCAGGTTTAGAGCTGAGTGATATGGGTTAGTGGAGGACTGGTTAGTGTTAGGTCAGAGGTTGGACTCGGTGATCCTGGAGGTCTCTTCCAACCTAGACAATTCTGTGATTCTGTGATCTTTGGGCCCAAGCACGGCATGGTCAACACCATCCTTGAATCCTGTTTAACAGAAAGGGTTGGCCCTGCCTGAACCTTTTTTTACCAGCGAGTGGAAGCGGGGTGTGTGCGCACAGCTAGGACAGCACAAAAGCTGGTGGGTACGGTGGTGCAAATGCAACAGTTGGTTCTTGCAGTTTACTCCAAAAAAGTAATAGATACGGGCACGTCCTGGCACTCAAAGATAGACTACAAACAACGGTTTATACCTTTAACTTTTATATTTAAGAATGAATAAACATGGCCCAGCAATGAAACATTAGGAAATGCCATGTACATGACCATCTGTTGCATGAACCTCCTAAAGTTTTCGCTTGTTAATGAGAAAAGTTTCAGTGGCACCTGCATCACCGCGGTCAGTCCTGCAGCTCTATGTGTGGGCTGGGCACTCTGCCTTGTGCAAAACCCCCAAGAGCAAAAATCTTCTGATTCAGTGACATTAGAAAAATGAAGAAAAATGAGCAAGCCTTCAGAACATGAATAATTAAAGAACTGAGGTCAGAGTCACATAAGCCTGAAAGCTGATACAAGAAGTGTTGGGCTGAGCATAGAAAGGGAAGGAAGAACAAGTGTTGTGCTTGTATTTCAGCGCCCATAAAGCAGGTGTGTACTGAAGTCCTTTAGCAAGAGTTTAAACTGTTTAGCAAGAGTCTGTGCTACCTTGCATTTCTGATTCTGTCACTGGATGCCATTTTTCACTAACCCCTAAAAATTTTACAGGTGACACCAAATGTATTTGCTTTAAACGAAAATTTATTCTGAATCACATTAACACAAAGCGTCTGGCTGGCTTTATAGCCACACACCTCATTTGCTCTTGTGGAAAAGGGTGAAATAAAGCATCATGGTGAACAACAACAGCACTAGGGGAGATTCCAGATGTTGTTTCTAGCTGCTGCCCTGTATTTAACTTTATTTAAAATCATAAGTGCTCTTAAAACACAATAGCTGGCTATTTTTAATGCTGTGACCAAACTTTGATTAAAGCAGTTTTCTTACTGTTGGCCTTATTTCCAATATCTGTGATAAGCCGTGACTAAAATGACAAATCCAGGATATTTACATATATTGGTAAAGAACGTGGATTTAATACATGTTAAGGTGCACTTCTGATTATTTTTATGAACTATATAAATATCATTGTCATTCAACTTTTCTTCTGCAGAGCAGCGAAGCAACTTGGCTTAGACACTCAAGTAGACAAACGTTGCCTTTATTAGCTTTGCAGCCACTAGATTAAGATGTGCAGTTCCTAAATCCTTTCTCAGCTGTGCTTTTGTTTTCAGTAGCTGTATTTAGTTTGAACAATCTAAAATGTTGTTAATTCAAGACTTTGGGAATGTGTAAGCCTTGCCACCGATATCTTCCAGTGCAGTGTAAGAAGGAGTTAAGTTTCTAAAATAAAGCAACAGTTTGAATGATGTTCCAGCCTCTGCAGGAAGAGCTGTGACAGCCTAAAGTATTCCAGCGCTGCTTATCATGGGAAAACTTATTTCAGTGCCTCTCTGACAGTAAAGCCATTTTTCTGAGGAGACTGACAAAACGCTGAAAAGGGAAGTTTTTTTCTAAATTGCTAATAGAATGGCTCTGAATAATGAGTGAAGGCAGACCTCTGAGGCATCGGCCAGGAGGATATCTTTTGTAAAACTAAATTATGGAAAGCGGACATAATGAGTTCTTTGTCTATCAGCATGGTCTTTAGCTACCAGTCACTGTAGAGAGCCCCAAAGAAAACCCGTGGGTTTTTTAATGTCTTGTCCGTTTGCACTACCACGTCGGTCTGCAGCCATGTGTAGAAAGAGTTGTGCAACTTTATTGGGTTTTTATTGCTTCTTTGTTTGTTTTTGCCATCAAACACGCTAGGTTCAGGAGAAAAACGTTACCACTGCTGCTATTAACAATCATGGCTGTGCAGTAAATTTGAAATATGTAAGATAAAATACCCCCTGAATGTCTTTGTCTGAGCTAGTTACAGTAAGCAGAAAGATGTAGGAATGTAGGGTTGTTTCTTAAAACAGATCCAATAAATCACAGTGAAAGAGCCTCTTTTCTCTCTAATGATTTACAGTGAGAATCCCAATGAGTTATTCAAATGTCCGCAAGTCAGGTAAGACAAATCCAATCCTCTGTGTCTGGAAATAAAACAGTTCCAGGCAAAATACAGCCCTCGTATCAGGAGGTGGATTTCACCTCTAAAGGCTGTGCCTCCCTTCCCTTTCATATTCCATTCACAATGACGAAGCAATTCCCTGATCCTTCACAGAAATGACAGGTGCACAGAGCTTAGCACCTTATTTCTTTTCATGTCCGGAGTCTTTCAGCCATTTCTCTTCTTCCTGAAGGGGAGGTATCCAGCCATGACTGGGTGCAGTATGTATCGAAGCTTCCCACTTCGTGGTTTCTTGACATTAACGGGGTAATGCTTAGCCCTGACTCCATAAAGTAATGTGGAAGGCATTTGGCAGCGTTCCTAAATTCCTGCTGCTTAAACATGAGGAAGCAGATCACTGTTGCATACCAGCATTGATTTATAGAAACCAAAGGCTGTGAAGAATCCTTCCATTTAAACTAAGCAGGCGATGCGGGAGTTTTTGTGTTCCCAGTTACATGTTTGAGCCTCGTCACCCTCACCCACCGAAGGAAGCCACCAACCTGTCATATGTAGTGTTAAAACATTGTTTAAATCTTTACCCACTTCTTTGCAAAGTCCTTCACGAGGGCTACTAAAGGTACGCTCCTTTGCATTTCTGTTTGTGCTGAGTGCTTTGAAGATTTTGGGCAACTTCACAAAGCTTAGAGTTATCGCTTGGGTTTTATTTTGATGCCTCCACATTTTCCTTCCAGTTCGAAGACCACAACCTCACTGAGCCTTGAGACAGCAGCTGCATATTGACAATGGTCGAGACTCTCAGAAACAAAACAGATTTGCAGGCACCACTACTCCTGAACACAATTTACTTTTAACAGGCCTACAGCATCCTACCTCTCCTCTACAGCACTGTTCCTCTGTAATTAGCAGCTTTGTGGCTGTGTTGCGTCAACCGTGCTGCTAAGTTCCTGAAGAAGGGGATTTAAACTTCTGGGAGAATTCTTCCAGCAGCTCCATCAGCTTCTCCTCGTCTCCTGGTGGACTGTGGGTGCTCGCTAACGGTAAGTGTGTAGGGACTGGTTGCCTGTCTGGAAGACAGAAAAAACAAAATCCTTATGGATATATTTAACTACCTCTTCTAGCATCACACAGGAGATTTTTCTGCTAGACTTTATATTTTCCAAACATATTTTATGGCCTTGAAGCCAGAAAATTTACCTTCTAGGTTTCTGTAAACAATGTTAGTTATGTATGCCTTCCAAACCAGAAACTGAACTACTTCCATTTGTATTCGGGAACTAGAATTACTGCCCTTGTGCTCAATATGGCTCAAGAATGGAAAGTGAGATCTCCTTTGCAGCTGGGACAAGAGAAAGGAAGCATTATTGTGGGGTTTACACCTGCTCTCTGTCAGTAGTTGAGCTCCTGTAAGACCAGTAACTTGAGATCACTGTTGCAGGAAGAAGTTGCTTTTTCAGCATCAGACGTGAGTTTTCCCAGTCTCCTGCACACAGCTTCTAGGGCTACACAAATTCCCCAGCTGGGACTTTGCAGCTTAGATTCTTTTCAGTCTCAAAATGCTTACTTTCATCCTTAATAATAAATGCTTAAATTCTAAATGCTGAAGAACTGCTAATTACTCAACTGCCAGAAGTTACATATAGCCAGCATAAAGACGTGTGACTGAGCTTCTGTTACTTTGGTTTTCCAAATCTTGTCCTCCTCACTCAGTGTTAATATTATCACTGCCCACTGGAAGGGATTTTTCTCTCCAAAAGCATGATATCTAGAGCCTAGGAACCTGGTAGCAATGCTCTTAGATGTCTATGAAGCAACCACCACTGCTCCAGGGGAGCAGAGATGTTTGCTCTCTTAAGAGCAAATGTTATAACTGTCTGCACACGCCACATCACCTCTGCTCCTGGAAACCTGAGGAGAAAGAAACATGCAGAGAAACGTCCCCTTCTCCATCCCCAAATATGAATTGCTCCCTACCTGAGTGGAGTGTTTCAAATCACGTGTGCTAAAGTTTGGGAACTGTGTGTGAAACACAAACTCGGCATCACGGAAAGGATGCTTCCAGGCTTTGGCAAGCAGGACTCCATCAAACATTTTTATTTATTTATTTTGGCAGATGCAGAGAATTCTGGTTGTAGAAGTCATGTTCTCACTTCCCATATTTACTCCTCAGGAAAAAAAAATGCTGGTTTGCACTCACAGGGAACAGAATAAAAGGGAACAGAGGAAACGGAGGGAGGGTGTTACTGATTCAGGAAACAGCCGTCTAGGACCAGAAAAGCAGGGTCTGTGCTGCTAAAGAGCTCCAGGACGCAAAGCCCTTTACTGAAGGGGCCCAGAGATCCTGCACTCAGCTGGGGCTTCCATAGGGCAGCTGCAGACAGAGAAAACCTGTCTGACTTCATCCCTATTCAGTAATAACGTAACAAGAAACTTTTTCAACCTCAAAAGCCATCACGCAAGGACTGAAGCTCTCAAAATCACCGTGTACAGCTGAAGAGCCAAGGTGTGCTCCTGTTCACTAAAGCTGGGGTTAAACAAAGGCTGAAGATTCTGCTTGACCGCTGTGATTTACCTTCCCTTGGCATGGGCCTGCATGCGGCCATCTTCATTTAAAAAAACAAGCTCCCTAAAGAAACGCTCTGAAGTCTGTATCAGATGATTTGGAGGACAAAAGCAGGAACGTAACAGCTTTATACAGTCTTTCTCTGGTTGCACAGGGCTCACTGAAACCTTTTGCCTTGGAACAACTTTCAGAAACACTTTATCCTTTGAAAAACTGTTGCCAGGCCAAGCCTTCATCCCCTTCCAGGCCAGATGGGGATCCTACAGCTCCAGGCAGCTCAGCTGTCCCCACTGATGTGCAAAGTAAGACTCTGCTGCCTCACCTTGGAAGAACAAGCCGCTCGGTAGCTTTGCTGCTTCAGATGATACTGCCAGCCACACAACGGTGTCAGCTCCCTGGGCCTCTGTGCGCAAGCTGCTCTTCATCTTCTGATAGAAATCTGGCATGGAGGACCTCACAGCTAGAGAGAAGAACAATGGGATGGTGGGCTGCCACGCGAGGCTTTATGATTTTAAAAGGAAATGCTAAAAATTGCCATTGTGGGTTTACAATGAAGAGAAGGCAGCTCGAAGTTCATGAAGAAGAAGTATTCCCACATAGCTAGGGGTATGGCGGTGGTGGGGTAACGGTGCTGAGCTGCCAGGTGATCAAACAGTTGTTTGGGTTAAAATGGGAGGCAGAAAGCTACAAGGAGGTGAGCACAGGATCGGCCAGAGGTTTCTGATCCAGTTCTGTTCTAAATCCCAAAGAAATTAAACACGGGGGAAACAGAAATACCACAACACAGGTATTCTGGATTTTTAGAGAAGAGCTAAAATCACAGGCTTTTTAGCTCTTATTTTCACACAAGTTTTAGGAAAACAATTGCAGCAGAGTATTTCAAAATCTTATGCTGAGTGGTACCAACTACATTATCCATGTTTAAACACTGGCTTCTTTTTATTTTGTCCAACAGATGACAATTGAGGGCCTATCCCCTGCAGCAGTTTATTTTGAGGGCTGGAGCAGCCTTGAACTTTAAGGTGCCATAACTTTAAAGCTCATTAGGTTTGGAAATACATGAACAATGTGCAAAAATAAATAGATTTTAAGGAAAAGGCAACACCAAGGCATTTATTTTGAAAGCATAGCTTCCAAGCCTGAGTAGATGGGTTTAAATGCTTCTCTTATCAGAAACTACTCTGGCAAACCATGTCTCCAGAGGAGACCTAGATATTGGATTGCTGGTCTGCATCCCAAGCTTGGGTGTTAGGGGCTGGGAACACGTTGCAGAACACAACGTGCATACCGGATAACTCCTGCTGGCCCTCCTGCTGAGACACAGTCAGCAAAGAACAGCTGCAGCTCAGACTTTGGGCTGTCCAGCCAAACACACCGCTTCGGGAGGGCTATAAACGTTTAGAGGAAGAGCAGAGGAACAAGGAGGCAGAATCTGTGTATCCCAGAACTTAAATGTTAGCTTAAAGCACTCGGGCTTTGCTGTGTGTTTGCGTGGGGCTGCCATCACTCACAGCCCTTCGTTATTCTCCAGCTACACACAGAGGGCAGATGCTGTGCCCTCTGCGAGAGAGCAGGGTTACCAAGTGGTACCAAACTACTCTAAGCACCACTTTGGAGCCAAGAAATCACAGCACATGCTAGAGAAATTTACCAGAAATTCTGATTTCTCTTTGCTTTTAGATTCATCTGGAAAAAAAAAAGAATAAGTTTCACAGAGATGATACCTGGAGTGTCTGCCCAGCCGGGGTGCATAACGGAGAAATGGATGTTTCTGTGAGTTTTTGCCCATTGTTCTGTCAGGACAACTTGCTGTCTCTAGGATAGAGCAAGAACAGCCAGACTAGCATCAAGTTCAGTAGCCTGTCCCCGAGTTTGTTCCCAGGGAAATAAACTACAAATGTGCTGTGAACATCAGAGCATTCACGTATAGCAGGAAAATACCCTCAGTCACCCTGACTGGGTTTAGTGGGTGATTTTGTCAGAGACCATCATGATCACTGCAGTCCATACCCTAGCCAAAAGCTCATTTTTAAAAAAGTTGCACTGCTTTTCCTCACCGAGTCTGCTTGCTGCAGACTGCAGGGAAGAGCTGAGCAAGCAGAAGGGGCTTTTCAGCAAAAGCCAGTTTTCTCCTTTGAGACTTAAATCAACTGAAAGCCACGCTCCCCATGCAAGATGATACACACAGTGAGCGCAGGACATCCACTGAAGATTATTGCCCGTGCATCTCTGTACAGGTCGGATGCAACAGAAAAGCCACAGTGGTGGTTTTTTTTGGTTGTTTTTGCAAAGCTTTTTGCAAAGCAGACAGTATACAAGCCACCTAGCAAACAGGCTGTGGGCTTTGTTTCCAAAACCTTGCACTGTACCTTGTTCTGGGCGTACACCATCGTCCCATCAAACGTCCCACTTCCTGACTGCAAATCAGATATGTTCAGCTTCTGAACTAGCATGCCCCCAGACGAGACAGTTATCTGTAATCAGATGAATGATAAATTAATGAAAAACCAAAATCAGCAGCTCCCCAGCATGAGTACTCATGCATGCAATGTGAGCTTCAGGCCATATTTTGAAGCTCCTCAGAGCAGGAATCATCTGCATACTCTTTGCACTGTGCTTGAGCTCAGATATGCAGCTTACCTGGAGATGAGGTGGAAGAAATAATTAAAAAAAAAAAAAAAAAAAGAAAAGAAAAAAAAAAAAAAAGAAAAGAAAAGAAAAGAAAAGAAAAGAAAAGAAAAGAAAAGAAAAGAAAAGAAAAGAAAAGAAAAGAAAAGAAAAGAAAAGAAAAGAAAAGAAAAGAAAAGAAAAGAAAAGAAAAGAAAAGAAAAGAAAAGAAAAGAAAAGAAAAGAAACAAAGCAAAAAAAAAAAATTATATTCATTCAAAATGGTGTCAACTCCATCAGGAATGAATTTGTCCTTTTCCTTTTTGAAGACCAATGGGGAGAAAAAAAATAGCAGAGCATATAAGCCAATTAGAAAACAAGAGAAACTATATAAAACTTGGGAAATTTCCTTTTAAAAATGTCCTTGCTCTCCTGTTTTACGCCAAGGCCTATGAAGTTCTCTTAAGCCTGTACTCCTGCTATCAGTAATTTGCACTGCTGCAGGAGACAACTTGCCCCAGGGAAAGGAAAAGGAGAAGTTTCCAGAAGTGTTTTACTCCGCTTTCCAATGCAGGGCTCAGGGCAGCAGGCAGGACCTTTGCCCTGGAGCAGGAGCTTGTTGTTGGCAAAATCCGAGAGGATTCTAGCGATGCTTAATGCATTATAAATAATCCTGCATTGCTAGCATAGTCAAGGGGATGCTGTCACAAACCACAAGGAAAGAACCATAAAATTCCACTTTTCAACAGCATCACAAACTCACCACTCTGGCGTCTGCTTCTTTTTCCAGCAGGGGCAGCAGGGCCGTTGTCAGAACGTACGTACCTACAGGACAGACAGACATGAACATTCATTTAGCTTTTTAAAAAGCTTTCTTCCTGCCCTCTACGACAAAAATATAAAGTCTGTTTCTGAAACTTCAGTGGGGTTTAATGATTTTGGTGCTGCTTTACTTGTAAAATTTTCAACTCATAGCTCTCTGTGTTGCTTCGTACTTCTCCAAAGGCACATCTGCTGTTTTACAGGCTTTTCTGTGTACCATACCTACTGAATAAACTGCTCGGTACATTCCAGCCAGGCCTTTGAAGGCAAATATGGATTTCCTTGGGAAGGGAGGCGACACCAGGGAAGAAACAGGGGAGGTGTTTCCCCTCTGTGCATGCCACATACTCATGTCTATGCTGCACAGTGAACAAGAGAAGCAAACCACGCTTCTCGTGTGCACTGGAGACTCATCCATCACGCCAAGCAACTGCACGGTGAGAAGGGAGAAACATCACAGAGAACCCCGACACTTCGGGATCCTGCTGCACATAAAAACTGCCTCGTAAATCCCCAGCATGACAGAATATTGGGAGCCCCTGGGGGAAAAAAATATTCGTATTGTGTGTCCGAGGCTGAGCTGGGTTTACTTGGGGAAACTTAACTGCATCCTTCCCCACATGTCCATGTAGCAGAAGGTGCACACACAGCCCAGATATGCTCCATCACGGCTGTTCCCATGACCAGCACTTTGTTACTCACAACACTGCTCATCTGCTCCTGTGTTTGGTTCAGGCACACCTCGTGCAGTTTGCACTCAGTTGCAATAGAGGGATTTTTGCTTGTTTTTCTCTCTTACAAGCGATTCTTTTATTTTTTCCCCACTTAAAAGTGTGCTTAAAAAGTTCTGTTGAACTGCAAACGAACCCAGCCTCACTTAGCCCAGCATTTCTGTGCCGAGTGCACCACTTCTCCCCTGTCTCTCCAGACATGGCCCGAATTCAACAACTCTCTGTCAGCGATTTTTTTCCATCAGCCACCGAGGCTTTCCGTGTTCTTCACTGGACATGAAGACTTCAGCGTGTGTCTTCATAACCTCTCTTCCACAGAGGCAATGAGATCACCCAGCTGAAACCCAGCCTGTTTATAAATACGCTAGCGAAGTTGAATGCTTTGTGAACAAACTCTTCAGCTCCCCCGTTGGGTCACAACCGCCCTCATTTTCTCTGTGTCAGCAGCAGGACATCCATATTCACTCGATATGGATAAAACACAAGCTGTCCTCTCATCCTCAAGCTTATTAAGAACCCAGTAAATCCCACGTAGCCCAAATATTCGGACTTTGCCCCACAAAAGCAGTCTCTCATCTGCTTTGAGGCAGCCTCCCAGCCTCCTAGGGTAGGCATTGGGGTCTCCAAGTACTCCCAGATGCGATGCATCAGGCACTGCGACTGCAGTGCTCCGTTCCTCCTCCTCCTGCCCCAGCCTTAGGCATCCAGACACAAATTCCTCAGTAGTTTAAAAAAATATTTTCAGATGTTCTATATCCGTATGTGCACGGGCTGGGCTGTCAGGCAAAACAGCCTGGAGAAGAAACTTGGTAGCATGAGATTAATAAAGCGTATCAGTGGTGGGGATCCATCGTTCTCAAGTTAAAGCTCTGCATTTTTACCCACATAAAGCTGGCGTGTAGCTTCACCGTCGTGTTCAAGCGGGTAAGAGCAATGTGAAACCCAGCCGCTCCTGTACCTCACGGCACACGTTTTGCCACGCAGGGCTGCAGTGCAGCTTGCAGCAACACAGGAATGAATTTCGGAGCAAAAGGGCACGCCGAAAATGAATGATTTGCCTGCCACAGTCCTTATAAAAACATGAATTGCACTGACAGTATAAAAATGAAAGAGGAAAATGTTATTTTTAGTTATTTTTTGTGTCAGGAAAACCGAGGTTCTAATTTGGGAGGAGAGACTACAGTTCCCCTCCTCCCACCCCTCTTCAGGAAATCAAGGCAAGATCCAAATTATTGATCTTTTTGCTAATAATTGACTGTTAATACCAAAGTGCTGGCCAGCTGCCTTCACATTTCATCACTCTAGGACGTGTCCTTGAGTGTCCTTAAATTTTTGTCTGTTAAACCTCCTCCCCCAGAGCGTAGTTAAAATAAGTGTTTCAAATGCGATTAATCCTTAATTATCACCGTGTTCAAACTGTACAGATTTTTTGAGGCTTCTTTTCTTTTCTTATTTAAAAGGGGCATGGAGGGAAAGACGATGACCACCAGCGATGTTCCTTGTGCTGGAAAAGCAACAAGCACTGGGTAGGCTGGTGATCCTGCCCCTCCACTGGGGACCTGTGTGATTCTGCCAGAAACAAAGGAAGATTTTTTTTTCTGGAAAGACAAAAAGTTTCAATAATATTGGGGCTATTTGGGTGAAAACATGCCTTTGTCTCAAGTAGATGCACAATAAATAGAGCTGCTTGGCTAGGACACAGAGCAATCAGGAATGTTTGTGCCTGAACAGCTCACCTGGACCATGACCTGTTTCTTGCACAGGTCTGAGGACTGCCCATGAAGAATTCCTGCCATGAATTCCTCAAGCAGGAGCCTGTCTCCATCACACAGATCATATCTGGCAGGTGCTGGACACGGCTGCACTGTCTGCATCGACACACGTGTGACAGAGGCCAGACTTTTCCCACCTTTTGAAGGTTTATCGCCTGCCTTGGCCTGAAAGCTTGGCTCCCACTGGCAAAAAGGTGAAAAAAAAACAACACATTTTTGCAGTAAAATGGTACATAACACTTCCCTTTGAAAAGGAGCTTTTGCTGTGCCACAAAGGAGCTCAGCAAGATGAGCGGAGGAGCAGCAGGAATGCGGAAGCGGGTGAGTAAGGGGCCGGTCTGTCACCCACATGTCCAGGATTTCTTCTTGCCCTCGCTGAGCTCTGCGGAGGTGAAGAAGCTAGAGAAACCGACTGGACAAGTGACAACCCTGTTCCCTGGAATGCGGCTTGACACAGTCCTCGCTGGCCACGTTTTCTCGAGTTAAAGAGGCTCCTGGGACCGTTGCACAACTCCTCGTGAAGATAAACATCCTCTCTGCGTTTGCTTTTCTTTGTAAGAATTCCTGTAAGCTTTATGCCTCAAAGCTGAGCCCCCCTCATAGGAAATCGTGCACAAACCAGTGTCATTCCAGTCTTTCCTATAAGGATACGGTTACCCAACTATTACAAACCACTCAACCAACTCTGTCACATGGTAGATTAGACAGCGTGGGTCTACTCATACCCATACACAACTCATACACAAGTTGATTTGAAATATATTACAAAAATCAGCTGGGCTGCTTCAGAAACTCCTCTGTAAATTTAGGCTGCTTTTCACAAGACCTGGAGCAGAAGTTGGGGAACTGTGGAAAACTCAGGTCTTGCTGGAAGGTAGCTCTGCTTGTTCTCGTAACAAATAACTCACCATGGACCTCGTCCTCTCCACAACAGCACAACCAAAATGAAATCCTTCCCCTTGCAATGGACAGAAGCCTACAGTGTATCAGACACGGGTCTTTCCCACACGTCTGCTACATATGCTCTAAAGATTTAAAGTGACCCCAAAACCTGGACTTTGCATTGATTTATAGGGAAAATTCTTGTTTCAGCAGAAGCCGTGCTGTAAAGCCACTACCTGGTTATAGCATCCAATTAATTGGTGATGCAAATTGCTGCAGACCCAAGTGTCTTGGTGGAGCCTCGAACAGTTTTTGCTCCGTGCTCTATCTGGCAATTAGTGGCAAATTGGTGGTGAGGTTTTTAATCTGCTAACATTCAGAGGAGGGCAGGCAGCCAGCACCACACTCAGTGGAGTTTTCCATCTGCCTGAGCTTTGCATTATTATTAGGAACAGAGCTGTTTCAACTGTGAAAAAAGTGGGAACAGAAAGAAAAAAAAAAAGTTTTATCGTACATATTTCAATGGCTCATTCATCTGGTAAAAATCAGCTAAAGAAATTGGCTTGCTCTTCTTATGTCCGAGTTTTAAATAAAAAAATAAAGCACAAGCTGACATTCTCCCTTGACCTGGTTATCTTTTCAAGCATTCAATTTATGCAGCTTCAAGTAAGAGACATCCCTGAGCCCGTTTCCTGAGTACGAGATCGGGAATGAAGATTTTAGTGTGCTGTCTCTGAGGGCCAATTCCACCACGCTACCGACAACTGAGAGAGGATGGGAAGAGCTAATGAACATGAAAGACAAAACTAAGGCCTACATTTCCCCTGAATTACAAAGCTCAGCTCTGTAAGGGTTCCCCTGTGTCCTGGGAATCTAGATTTCAGGCCTGTTACTAGTTTTACAACTATATTCAACTTCATTCCTCTGTGCAGCACTTCTCATCAGTAAGTCTCAAAGCTCTTTAAAAAGAAAACTGGCATCACAGTCTCCACAGGTAAGGCTGTCTGCAGAGCTCAGGCACTGACCTTGTGGCAGATCCAAGCTGCCTGACCTGCACGTAGCTCAGATCACAATCAGCTAGGCAGCGCTGGCTTGGGTGAGACAGCAGTTTGTTATGGGTTATGTGGAGGGAAGAGGCTGAAAAATACCCGTAGAGGTTAGGCAATTTGCCCCAGATGAGCTGTACAGCTGTTATGGGAGAGAAGCATTTATTTCCTCCGTCCCTACCCCTCCTTGCACACAGAGCAAACACATGCAACTATGTGATTAAAACAAGGGAGCAGAGGAGGTTTCACTAGCCTGAGAAAAAGCTGCATACTGGGAGCATCATTTATTCATCTCAGAGCGTGTTTTAGCATCCCTTTTGCTGGAAAGTAGCAATAAAATGTAACGTATACGCCACTTCTCCATGTCATGCAAGATGAGCTGAGGAAAAGTAAAGTGAGGCAGGCCCCAAAATAAGGAAACAAAATAAAATCAAGCAAGTCTCATCAGAAGAAACGACTGCTTGTCATTGCCCTGCTCCTGAGTGCTGCCCTGAGTACGGGGCCAGCCCACGGGAGGAGAAACGGGGGCAAGAGCACACAGAACAGAAGGACAAAGCAGAAAACCTGCCTGCCCGTCAGCCTCTGCAGCTCCCCCAGAAATCAGGCTGCGTTAGCCCAAGGCACTCACTTGATTTCATGCTGAAGGTGTGATTCGAGGTGCTGTTACAGCCTTGTGCCTGGCTAGCACTCCCACATTACAGCCCGACTGCTCCACAGCTCATTCTGCTCGCTACACCTCCACCAAGCTCTGGTAATGACAGCAACAATCCTTGGGGATCTAACGGGGAAAAAAGCAAGGTGTTTTGACAGCAACAGCAGAAGCACAACGAGCCACGCAGAGCTTGTGCCTGAGCCCCATTTTAAGGATGCCAGGCACCAGCACAGACTGTGGTGGGTCAGCACAGACGCTGTGTGCTCAAATCAGTTTATGATTTGGACTCGGATACTACACAAACCCTACAAAGCCTGGACCATCAACCTGTGTGGCACATTTTTCTGACCTTCACCCACCTGCATATTCCACCAGAGAGGACTCTGCACCTCCCACTTCAGCAGGCTGTCCTCAGTTAGCCAGTCCATGGCGTTTCACAGGGATGGAGGTTGACTTTTCTATTTGAACCAGCACTGTTTTTGTGCCTAATTCATCTCAGCTATCAGAGGACTCACACGTTCATTTTTTTGCCCACTGTGTCCAACAAAAGGTCAGGCTACAACGTGGGTTTCACAAGTCAGGTGATCAATTAGGACTGAGCTCTCCCATCCATTATGCAAAACATCTGAAAACAGACTAAGGAGGCAGTCAGGAGGAAAATACCCCTCGCCTGGATTTAAAAGTTTGAGAGCATTTTAGACCCCCAAATGAGCAATTCTGCAGCTTATGTAAACGTTAATCAGGTATCAGCTGCAGAATTCACAGCCTGTGCTCTGTAATTAAAGCACTTTATAGTTCAGAGTCTTGCATTCTTAGATAGTTACAACCTACACACTCCTTTATTAGACCAGAGCTAAGATTCAGGGTAAAAACAAATAGTCAAAGAAAGATGAAAAGAATGCCTGCATGTGAAAACCAAAAAAAAAACCAACTTAATAACATTTCATCTTATTTTTGGAGAAACCAGGCAATCACAAGTTATTGTTTCTGTGCTGCTGACATGAGGGAGAAAGCTGCAGATTTTTAAACCATGGGCCGGGCTTTAGCTTTTCTGGGGAGAAAGGCAGGGAGGAGAATTCAGTTTGTTCTCTCAGACCACGTCCTGGGTTACAGCCAACCTTTATACCAGCCATGCCTAATTTAGCCAAGGTTTTCTCTAGGAACCTGTAACCACAGGTAGTTACTGATCCAGAAGTAACTTCTCACAAGTGAAGCACGCCCAAAGGGCACACGGTTAGGGAAATGACACGGCATCTACTCTGACGTGCATTTTTCCATAAAACTTTCTCCTTCTGTGACTCCAACAGGCATGATTTATTACCCCACCTCTGGCTTTGAAGAAAAAAGCCGTGATGTTTATAGCAGTGGTCCTCCAACGTGTTTGACTTGCAGGCACAGCAGCTTTCCCTTGCACAGACTCTTCCAGCTCAACCAAGCCCCACTCTTTTCTTCAGCTTCGGAAGTTTCTCCTTATGTTTGACAGGAGAGAAGCAGCCCAAGCAAACAGCTCACTCCTTGTTCAAACTCTGCAGAGGCTGGACAGCAGAGGACGGCTTACCTGATTTACCTCATCTGCTCAAATGTGCAGGCACCTCCTTGACCTTCGTACACACTCAGGCAGCAATTGGTACACAAACTAATATAGATCTGTACACAACCTACCCAGGAGGTAGCACAAGCACTTTCCTAATCCACAACAATCATAATTCAGCTTCCTCCACCACGTTCCTGCAGCTTTATTCTGCTGCATACTCCTAGCGAGGCTGATTTACAGCCAGGAAAGCAGAACCTTGCTGCTTCTACTTGTGTGATAAAATCTGATTCAAGCGATGCACCAGCACAGTACCTCAGCAATCAATTTTCTCAGTGTTTAAAGCTACACAAAGCCCTGCTTTCATGTTCAAACTGTGGCGCTTGTTCCCCTCTGCTTCTCTCTGCAAGACCTACATCTCTGCACATTGCTGGATTTTTGTCTGACAGACCACTAGGGGGTTAAGCTAATTTAAGAGGAATACGTTTTCGCGAGGTAAAAGATGTGGTGTTTCTATAGCCAAGGGAAAACTGATGGCAAAACAAAACTCATTTTGAATTCTCACCACAAGAAACAGAAGGATGTTAGTGAAAGATTAATTTGAGGAAAATGAAAACTGTGCCTTTACGCTTGAATTTTTAATTGTCAGCTTAATGTACTCGGAGTTGCAGAAAACCAAGCTGCGTGTGCCGTATCAGCTAAGCACAAGATATTTGTACCCAAAATGTTGGTTTTCAGAAGTAAATAGGAGTTAAGAAAGCTACGCAGGAACAAAGCTAAGAATAAATAAAACCCAAGAAGGGTTTCCAGCCGCTGAATGCTGAGCTCTGTAAATGTCCAATCTCTACAGCCCAAGCTTCTTCCCTTCCTCATCCCAGGTATTGATGAACAGGAGGGAAACACAGAAACATAGCACAGCAGCTCCCCTGTAATGTGTCACTTCTGAATATACTAAAGCCAGTCTCTCGGGAAAACCACATCCCTGCACAGAAGCAAAGGGAAAGGAGAGTGACAGGACTGCTGTTCGACGCACATGCCGCACCTCTCTTGGCAAGAAGTGCAGCTTTCAACCTTCCAGATGCAGCAAGAAGCTTTTCTCCCTGCTGGCTGCCTGTGTGCTTGCAGCTTTCGGTGTTTTTTCAGGGGGAAACTTGCCACTTTGCTCAGTATTCCCTGCTCAGCCACATCTCCCTCTACTTGTTCCCCTTAATTTGTCCCTCTTACACCTCCACCACACAGCTCGTTGGATACACCCCTTAAATATGGAGTGCTGAAGACTTACCCAGTCTGCTCAGTCACCTGGCTGGGTGTCGTGTCAGTCTGAGAGTTCCCAGGACACTACAGAGGGCACAGCCTTCCCATACAGAGCCTCCATCACATGCACAGGGCAGTTCAGGACCACCAGAACATACAAATGTCTCTTTAAGCACCTGAACGTGCTCTGAGCTCTCTCCAAGCCACAGGAGCACACTGATTACACAGGCTGTCATTAGTGGCCCTGCTTGGAACCAAGCTTCCTATCAAATCTCAGAATCAATTGAATTAAATCCTATCTGTATTTGCCCACTGCTGCTATGATAAAGGCACTGATATGAAAAAAAAAAAAAAAAAAAAGAAAAATGGAGAAATTCAACAGTGACACTCCACAAAAGCTGTAATACTTCTTTTCTTTCTCCTTCCCTGACAGGGCAACAATATGAACCCTCGTTAAGCAGGAAAATACAGCTCATGAACCCAGCTGTAAACACATACTTTTGTAACCAAAAATAAGTATCATTTTTCAGAACTAAGCCTCCACCACTCACCCAAGGTGTTTGTTGCGAAGTTTTTCTCAAGTCCATCTTCAGTCAATTCTCTGTTGTTCACCATACATCCTGCGTTGTTGATCTGTAAGACAACTCCTGTAAACAAAAGCAACCTACACAACTAACCATACAAGCAGCCCATGCTAGCTAGCTGGGTTTTGACACTACAACACGAAGCTACAGGTTGTTTCTGTAAACCACGAAACAGAAAACATGGCATGAGAAACTCAAAAGTTGCAACCAAAAAAATTATTGCATTTCTCTCTCTCTCTCTTTTATAATTAGATCTGTGCATGTGAGCTGAGAATGGACAAGAGCAGACAAAAAAGAGACTTCTGCAGCAGCATTTGGGGAAAATGAAGCAGAGAATTGCAGCACTGGTTGTGAAATCCAGACTACTCGCTGGATAAGTTCAGAGGACAGGCGCTCCAAAACCAGACACATGACTGAAGTATGCGAACTTACCAACACGTTTAATTTATGTTCATTTTTGAATTGTTCAGCAAACTTCCAGATTTCCTTGGGATTAGATATATCCACGATATGCAGGAAGACATTCTAAATGGAAAAAAAAAGCAAGTTACAGTCAGCGTCAACAGTGAATAAGCCCTGTTCACCATTAAGGCCTGTCTAGGTGAAAAGCATTTAAAGCCATATGAAAAAATATGGCTTTAAATCTCTCCAGAGCAGATCTAAAACACTTATGGTTACCATGCAAAACTGGGAAATCTAATTCTTGCCCATAAAACAAGTTTAGTGACCTCACTCAGTTGCTGCTAAGCCGTGGCTTTTGAATGCTGACTGCCTGGTTGAAGAGACCCCAGCTTTTATTTCTGCCTGGCAATCCTGCACAGGGACCCCACCCGACCCACGTATCGCTCAACCAGTGCTGCATCACGTGGTATGGATGCCCCATGAAGGAAAGCCCAGGAAATAGTGAAGGGACGCTCAAGGTCGCAGCATTTGACAAAATATTAGGTTGGAAGGGACCTCTGGAGGCCCCCTGGTCCCACCCCTGTTTCAAGGCAGGTCGCTGGGATCAGGTTATCCAGGGACAGTTCCTTTATCTCCGAGGACGGAGATTTGCCAGCCTCTCGCGGCAACCTGCTCCAGTGTTTGACCACCCCCAGGAAGAGAAAACAAAAATCCCTGCTATCTAATCAGAACTTTTCCCTGTGTTGCAATCCGCATCTGCTGCCTCTTGTCCTCCTTTCCCTGCACACCTGCCAGAGGAGCACGGCACTGCCTCTCTGCGCCCTCCCATCACGTGGCAGCAGAGCACAGGAGGACAGGAGCCTCCATCCTACAGGAGGGAGCCTCCGGCCATGATCCCCACCTCCTCCTGGTGCTGACAAGGGTTTAGGCTCTGCCAGCTCCCCTGCCAGAGCTGCTTCTTCTCCTGTTTCCATGGCACTGCACCTATCCTGCAAACGCACATCTGCAGGCTGACAACAAGCCTGCCTTCTCCTGCCAGCAGTCACAAACCTCCAGGCTTCCCCATCTTAGGAGTCTCCACCCAGCGTTTCGTTGAGCAAAGTTATAATTTTCCAAGCCACTAAAGCCAGAAGTATTTCCTCTCTCCAAAACATCTAAAAGCTTCTACTTCTTGTTAAGGGCAATTCTCTTGGTTTCTGTAAATTTCTGCTCAGTAACATTTATCAGCTTACAAAGGGGATGTCAAATCCTACCCTTCTCCTGCATAGCCCTTAATCTCAAAGACATACCACAGATCATCTTAGAGCATATCCCTGGAAAAGGCCATTCGAAGAGAATTATACAGAGAACATGTTCTCACTGAAAACAACAAATAATCATTAAAGGGCCTCCTCTTTTCCCAAATTGTTTCTTTAAATACTCAATATACAAGCCGAAGAGATAAGTAAAGAAGCTGGGAAAATTATAAGGCATCGCTCCCAGCCTATAACTCTGCTTCCTTGAAGATAAAAACACTTGGCTTTTTCTCTTTAGCATTTTAGCTCCTTATGTGAATTAGCTCAGAGTTTTCTCATTGTAATGCTCATTTTTGACCAAAACCTTGACTCTATTCTACACGCCAGATACCTCTCGAAAAGCTTTCTACTTTTAGAGCTACTACAACTAACTGCTGGAACAGAGGAGTAGGAGATTTGGGGGCAGATGTTCAATATCACAAGTGATTTCAGAGACTGAAAAAGATCTAAAAGAACGCTTATCTGCTGAAGCCTGTCATGCTGATGCAGAAAAAGGACCCACAGATTTGTTCCCTTCCAAAGTCCTTGATGGCAGCAAAGCCATTTTCAAGGTGAAAGCTAATCTCCACGAGTAGATCTAAATTAACAGATCAGGAGACCTTCCTAGTTCCCAGGTCAAGGTGCAGGTGCCTGCCAAAGAGTGACTCCTTCCCAGCACTGAACTTTGGCATGTGTTGCTGGGGAAGCTGGAAATAATCTCTGGTGTATATTACAACAGGGTTTCTCTCCAGATGACCAGGAAGAGTAAATTAGGTCTGGATGTAGCTTGTCAAGTTGCAGAAAAGGCATTTTCATAACTCCCTGGACTATTTCTGAATGGGTACTTATAAAAAAGGACGTTCTTGGGAACAAATTATTAAACTGACTCTTCCCAGCGCAGTCCCATATCCTACAGGGCCTCCTGTGCAGCTCATCTAACACTTCCCTGAATGCTCTTTTCCATGCAAGTGCCCAGTCCCCACGGTCACCCACAAGTTCTGCAGTGTCCTCATACCCTTCCAAGACTCAACTACAGGTTTGCAGCCTGCCAAAAGTGGTTGTGCAGTAGAGGTGCTGCTTTCAGAGGAAGAACCCTGTCTGTCTCGAGTTGTGTTTCACCAAATGGTAGAGCATAACACGTGAAGGAACCTCCAGAGGTCATCAAACTCACCCAGACTGTCTGACTGCAGTTAGAAAAGGAAGTAACACGGAAAATCACCCGTCCTTCCACAACTGTGTCTTACTACAGCCAAGGGATTGTGCTTTCATAGACAGCTGGAGAGCATTTATCCCTACAGAAGGACTGATCTAATTCACCTCCATTAAAGAACCGAAGTGTAATGCTGGTTGTGTCACGCTAGGGAGCTGAAACCAAGGAGCAGAAATGTAGTCAATATGTTATCCCTAACCATAAAAAGTCTTCACCATTTTTGATCCATATTAAAAAACTATTACTGGAATCAAAATACTGTGTTTGAGAGCCAAGGCACCACTTAAAATGAAGAAAGCTCTCCACCCAAGGTAGAAAGTCACAGGCTGCACTTCCCCACAAGCACACCCTCCTGAATAATTAGCACAGCAACACTGACAGCTACAGGGGGCTGCTGCAGAGTGATGTAAGCAGAAGCAAAAAGAATCCCTAACAGAAGGCAAGGAGATAAGGAAAAGATCCTATAAAGAGCATGGGGCTGGGACCACATACAGGAGTTCATAAAACAGGAAAGCCAGCCTTAGCAAATCAAGAACATGTTATTCATACACAGAAAACCTCTGACTCCAATGCTGTAAACTCGTTAATGTTATTGCGAGAGTGTTGCAATGAATTAACTTTCAAAAGCCTCAGCCACATAGCTAAGAATAGTAAGCAGGGAGTGACAAAGCATAATGACAGAAAACACTAAGTAACACATGCTGCTGGTGATGTCATTGACCACAGAAAACTGAAAACATCCCCCAAATGAAATTAAATTACTTCAAACTGTATCAATGATAAGCTACTGTGTGTTTCCATGTCTGTATGGAGATACTATGAAAAGCACAACAGCCAAACAGTGAAACAGAGTATCTCAAGACCCCTGTGGTAGTAAAAAAAAAAAAAGTGAAGTAAGCTAAGGGCTGAGGAACAGCTCACCTGATTGCCCGTTTCTGTCACTATTTCTCCTTTGGCATCCTCAGCTCGTTCCTTATTCCGGCAAACCAGGTGAACCGTGCCACCTGGTGGATTTCAACGAGAAACACATTTGACAATTAATTCCTAAATATGTCATCAGCGAAGAGAAAGGGGTCAGAAAGCGATTTCCAGTTTGGAGTTCTTGTTTAGGGTTAGTCTTTGGTACAAGTAAGACAAAATGAGAAACCTTTAGTGACTGCTTCCAGTCTGTGGGATATCTGTAGCCCTCCAGTAGCAGTGGCATTCCTGGCAGGGACCACAGGCTATTAAGGGTGTTTCAACAAAACATTCAGGACACAGTGAATGAGTGGATGCACAAAGAAATTGTAACAGGGTCCCCTAGTAAGGCTGTATGTACAAAGAAAGCCGCTGCAGCCTAGGCACTGTCTGCTCAAACAATTTTCTGTTAGGTTTGCACAGCATTTTTCGTGTTGATGAAATACCAGGGCTGCACTGGAAATTAAAGCTAAGGCATCTGAATCACAAACACTTGTTTTGGCACGTCTTAGGAAGTTTAACAAAGGGCTTGAACAGCACAAGTGACTGGAGTTGCTCTGTGAAAAGGGAACACAAAACACCAGGTATCAAAGTTCTTCTCAGCAGTGGAAGATGAAACAACTTTATGCTTTGATTCCCTGATTGTTACAGGAAATTTGTTAATCTCAGTCACAGGAACACATGAACTCTTTATTTTTATCTGGTCTTGAAGGGGTTTTAAAGTTTGCAAGCAGTCCAGTGCCAGAAGGCTTAAGCAATGAAATCCCAAAGGAGTGATGATCCAGAACCCAAATGCAAGACACCAAGTCTATCCTAGGCATAATTATAATAATGACACTACCCGATGTTTAAGACACGTCTCATCTTCAACCTGTTTGTGCTACACATACGCTGTGCGTGGAGGGTTCAGAGAAGCACTGAACACAGGCAGATCAGAATGAAAGGCAGACTGTGCCCCAGTGAGATTAGATTTCACCAGTGAGAAAAGACAAATGTCAGAAGAGGCAATGTACAATGCTCATCTGTTCGGCCACTCAGCACCCGTAGGCTTCACTGCAAAGGAGGGCTTTAGTGAGAGATCTCGAGGCAGTTAAGGATGTGCATTTGCAAATATTTGAAGAGCTCTTCCTGAAAAGTAATGTGCACTTGCATAAATTAAACACAAGGAAGAGGTGGCTGGCCTTCCAGCTGATTGTGAACATTCTCACAGTCCATGGTAAAGTCCCAGTGGTGGGTTTGAAGGGCTCTGAATATGGGCATTTTCTTGCTGCCAAGGAGAGGGAGTTGTTTCGGTATGACTCATGGACTACAAAAAGCATTTAAATGTATTTTCCATGGTAAAGATCTAAAATTATCCAAATTTAAACAACACTGGCAACTGTCAATATGGCTGGGATGAGACCACATCAAACCAGAAGTGCAGTTCATAAGTCCCACAGGAAAGCCCAACTCCACAACCCCCATATGTACTGGGTCTGGCTGAGATGGAGTTAAGATTCTCCATAGTGGCTCATACAATGCTGTGCTAAAACACTGCTGGTAACACACTGATGCTTTATCTGGTGCTGAACAATGCACAGTGCCAACAGTGTCCATTTCTCACTTCGCCCCTCCAGTGAATAGACTGGAGGGTGCAGATGAGGTTGGGTGGGGACAGGGTCAGGCAGCTGATCCCAGATAAACAGAGAGAAAGTCTGTGCTGCATATTATCATGCTCAACAGTAAAGAGGGCATACAGGGGATTCAGGAGTTGCCATCTTTTGCTTGGGAACTGGCTGGGCATTGGTCTACCCATGGGAGGTGGAAAATGATTGCTCTTGCATCACTTGTTTTATTTTCTTTGTCTCTTCTTTCACTTTTTCACTTAATAAACTTGGTGTTTTTTTTTTCCTCTTCTTTTAAAATTGGACTCGCAAGTTCTCACTTCTGTTCTTCCTTTCCTCTTCCTCTATCCTACCCGGGGTGGAAGGGGAAGTGAGCAAGCAGATGTGTGGTACTTCGCTGCCTACTAGAGTTAACTCGCTATGCCATATGACACTGATTCAGAGAAGAGCTGAAATCAGGCTAGAGAAGGTGTCATCTCAAGACTGCCATAGGTATGATGTGCATGAACATAAAGCCAATGTAGCTTGGTTATTCTTCTGCCAAGTCTGAACTGCTTAAGTTCTTGTCATGGTGAAGAGATTCAACTAGAAGCCAGAGTCCCAACAGCTGACATGGAGTTTCAGAGCAACACATGCAAGGATGGCATCAGGAAGACACTGATTAAAACATTTTAACTTCATATGCGCAGCTGTGGCCTAGAAGGGTATCAGACAAGAAGTCTGAGTCCAACGTTATTATCCAGGCTCCAAATTCTAGACATGACCAAATCCTGTGAGTATCAGGCCAGCCTGACAGCATGCAACACCTGGCAGTGAGCAGAACAGCCACCAGGCAAAGCAGTAAGGCCATTATGTGTAATGGCAGAAGTGGGAACCTGAGATCAATCATATATTGGCACTGATGGGATCTTTAACCCAAAGGCTCTTTATGCCAATAATTTTGAGTTAGTTTAATTTAACTAAGTCCCCACTCTCCTTTATATGACAGTTGCTAGAGCCTAAGCAGGCAAAGAAAGCAACGAGCTCCTCCATTTTATTATATATGCCCAAACTCCTGTCACTCTCACACAAGGAGAATTATTTTAGCCCAAAGGATTTTTTTTTTCCTTAAAAAGTAGCTAGTTTCCGTTCATACCATCTCCCTGTTTACAGATAGGAAAAAAAAAATAGGTCTGCATGTAATCAGTTAAGGGGCACAAACTCCAGGTTGTTATTCTCAAGATCAAGCACAATACTTCACTCTTCCCATCTCCAGCTTTGCAAAGTCAATTTGCTTTCTTTCATCATATGACACGCTTGTAAGTTGTTCAAATAGTTCAAATTCTGCCAGGCTGCTACTTGTACTCAAATAGACCTTGGTAAGTCACTGACATGTTCAGATGATGTTATAACATAGACAAGATTGGTAAAGATGCACTTGAGAAACTTTGTAGGTTTTCTCCACTGATTTTTGTGTTCCACTCTTTCAGTTTTCTCACACTTAATCCTTTAACCCATACTAATAGCACTGTAAAATAAGCTGCCTGGCCTTTTTAAAAGAGCCTTTTCTGTAAGGATCTCCTGGGGTTCCTTGTTTCTGCCCTGGCTCACCTCTCTTTGCTATCTCTTTGGCTGTGGCCTTGCCGATGCCGCTGTTTGAGCCGGTGATCAGGAAGGATTTTCCAGCCACGTTCACCTCGAGATCTGCAGGGTTGAAGTGCTTGGAGGCAGACTCATAGCCGCTCCTAGGCAGATCAGAGACCACTGTGTGAGGAACCAGAAGCGAGCACACCCAGCTAACCGCAGGGAAGCTTGAGGAGCGCTTCCCCTGCACAGCTCAGATACTTTTTTTTTTTTTTTTTTTTTTTTTTCCCAGCAGATGCAATGTAGGCTTAATTTCCCCTCTCCCCACTGCTCTCTGTGCTCTTTGGACAGGAAACACCCCGTGCCAGGGACTGTTCCAGTTATGTGCCAAAAGCTGGGAGCGTTTTGCACGGCACAAACCGCGCTGGGGACCTGGGGCGGCTCCGAGTGAGCTCAGGCGGGCTCCCCCTCCCATCCTCAGGCAGCACCCAGAGACAAGGGGTTGAAATTCGCCTGCCCTGGCGTTGAAGTTTCGGTTTCAAGCCGAAAACAAACGCGGAAAGCCTTCAAATAGTTAACACCTTCCCCCACCAACACCACCCCTACAAACACCACAGCGCGGCGCCCGCCCCGGGGCAGCGCCCCGCCGCCACCGTCCCCCGGCCCCGCTGTAGGGGCTGCGGCCGCCGGTACCTCGTGTATTCCCGCAGCCCCTTGACGAACCACACGGTGTTGCGGTACCAGGACATGGTGGCGGTGCTCCTGTCACCGCCACCACGGTGCCGGCCCCGCCTCTGCCCTTACATAAAGGCGCCCCGTGCAGCCCAGCCCGCCCGCCCGCCCTGAGGTGACGGCCCGCCCGGCCCGGCCCCGCCGCCATTACGGGGAGAGGGGTGCGAGGGAAGGGGGAGCCACCTCAGCGGTCTTGGGGCTTTTTCTTCCTTATCCTTTCGTGTTTTATTTCCCTTCTTAATCAGACAGAAAGCAAAGGGATCTGCTGTGAGCCTCTGGCACGTTGTGCGGGAGGCTGCTACAGAGATGAGGCCATGTCTGGCAGCGGCTGTGTTGGCTGGCAGGGGTGGTAGCAGTGGGAGAAAGGAAAGAAAGAAGGAAGGAAAGAAAGAAACAGAAATAAAATGAAAGAAAAAGAAAGAAGAAAAAGGGTTGCTGAGGCATCTGCTCAGGGCAAGTGGTGCTGTCAACCTTGCTAGGGCTGGAGATACGATGGCAGGTTTTGCTAATAGAGGCTGGGACCTGCATCCTGTGAACCCATTGCTCTGCAAAAAAACGTTAAACAAAAGCTCTTGCAAAACCATAAACAACCATACTGTACCACAACAGAGTATTTTATGCTATAGATAAGCCCGTGAAGCTCCCTGCCTCTACTAATGGGGTAAAGTGCGGCTGTAGGAAAGGGTAGGCAAGTAGCCATTACAGCAAGGGAGCAAAGTTAAAACATGTTTTCAGTTCCTGTGGTGCGTGTGTTAACGATATTAAGCCCAAGAGAATCATCTGTAGTCGCACATCTGGACAATCTATGTTAGCCATAAGGAAATTGTCATTATAGGTATAGTTTTTAAGCAGTTAAGGACTATGCACTTAACACAGTTCAGTGTACAAGCTTAGCTGAGTTCACATTTTCCTATGTAGCGTGCAGGGCCACACACACAAACTGCTTTGGGAACACACTGTTTTCAGCAGCTTAAGTTACCTGGCTTCAATAGGAGGGACAGGGAGAAATGTTCCGTCTTTTTTGACCCTATCAGTAGCCTTATACTTCCTTTCCTAAATCTCTTCACACTTGCAAAGAGCTCCTACTCTAGCACTCAGCTTTCTCAGCATGTTGTGCAAGTGTTAGGCTCTCACACAAAAGGTGCTTCCCACCATGAAGTTAAAACTTTTGAACTCACCACTGTGCTTGTAGTAGGTATTGTGCATGGAAAAAGATTTTTCAGAGGGCAAAAAGACACGTTTTCACAGGGATATCTTCTTCCCTATAGACACCATCCAGATAAATACCCTACCTTTGCACCAAATCTGAAAATGCGTGTTCTTACAAAACAGTTGAAAGAATTTATTTAAAAGCAGCAGAGTGAGTCAGTTTTAACTGTTTTTGTTCTTGGAAATGCCTATGACTTTTTGACTGAAGCGTTCCTGAACAATTCATCCTGATTCTGATGCTCAAAATGGAGACTTCTGGCCCAGAAGGGAACAGCTTGGCAGTGGTGTAATTGGCAGCACATTATTTCCTATAATGAAAAGTGAATGGCAGCCTGAACTATAGTTATGTACTTGGTAAGTGTAAATATATAATTGTGAGCTGTATGGAAATAGGTTTGTGATCATCACCTACAGCCTGCAATTAGCAACCAGAACTGCACAGCCTAGACTGCTATAATGATGTTAGATAATCACATTCACTGTGAACAGAGCAGATGTTAGGCCTGTGAGAGTCCTGCGTACAGTCTGACATAATGTTCTCTCTTCCTGCTTTGAATCCCTGGCCCTGGTAGCCCTCCAGCTTTCCCCTTTCCCTCACAGCCTATACAAATCTGCCTGGTTACTCTCCTTGAATGCTGGTTCTGGGAAAACACAAGCACGGGAAAACCAGAGAATGATGTGGGCGTGCCTACCATTAGAAACATCCAGTGTCCCACACATTTTTATGCTAGTTGGAGAATGTCTCACCTTGGGCTTTGTAACCCGTGGTGTGTCTCAGTATGCTGTTACAAGAAGAGTAATGTTTCAGGGTCGCTTACCTGCAGAATTAGCTGCTTTCTTTACAGGAAACACGGTTTCAGTTTGAAAAACATTAGTAAATCCCAAACGAAACAGAAACCCTGTGGAAGTTCCTGTAAGTAAAGGCAATAAGCCAGGTTGCGCTTTATTCCCTTATCATTCTTTTTTACCCTATGTATTTATTAAGCACTTAGCCTATGGCTTAATACAAAGCAAATGTGGCTCTGATACATTTTGTTTGCAGTTTCAGTCTATGCTCTCAAAGATAGGCGGTTCATTTCTTCAGTCTGCAGACCTCTCCAAAAGTAAATGGGGAGTGTGCAGATACTCAAGATTCTGCCTTTCTTCCAGGCTAAACCATTTGAACTGTAATCAAGAAGATGCTGGGTGATGCAGCACTGAGGTACTGACCAGTGTGGGTATGCGTGGCAGAAGCTGTCTACTAGTCAAGCACAATAACACACTGAGACAGCTGGACAGTGAGAATAGCTTATGGTATTTGGGGGTTTTAGTGGTAAATGACAGCATAATGCTTCTGTTATTTAACAATAGGGCCTCAGAGAAGATATTGTTAGGAAGAGATTTGAATGTAGATTCTGTAAGCATAACGAAATGGTGTCCTGGTCATTGAAGGGTTAGCGCAACAATCCCCAATTCCCTTAGAATCACTTATTCTTTTGCATGGTGAGGGCCTAAGGTAGCACCACGAAAGGAATTGTGCCAGTACCGATTCGATACATCTGTGCATGAGAATTTCAGCCAGTGAAATCTCTCTCTCATATCTGTCTGAACAGCTTCATTTCAGAAGCGAGCTCTTGCACTACCCTAACAGCCTAGATGTTTCTGTTACCTCATTTCATCTCCCTGATGTGTTTTGCTTTTGTACTCTTGTTCCAGAGGCAGGAGACTAGAGACTGAACAAGTGCTCTCAGCTAACCCAGCCGTCACAGTGGTAACGCCACAGGGGTTGTGTGCAGGAGAAAGCTGAGACAGTTTTGCCAAGAGCTGGCTGGTGCCAGTGAAGTGCCTGCCTGGCAGTGCTCTCACAGGCAAACTTTCCACCCACATCAAGACTTCTGGCTGCATGTTGCCTTTGGTACTGAATTCTAGGTCGATACACTTTGTTAGCTGACTCAGAATCTGTTCTGGAGCTTGGGAAATATGGCAAGTTACAGCTTTTGGTTTCTTTCAGGGTTACTGCTAGTTTAGCATTAAACAAAGACAGGAGGCTAATCGGGATGGGAGGGACTTTTTGGACAAGGAATTCTTCTCGTGGATTGGCAGCCAACATCTGAGATAGTTACCACAGCCAGTCAGCAACTACGATGGAGGGGGAAGGATCAAGAAAGGCACAAGACTGTTGAGCTCCTAGCATTTCCCTCATTTGAGCACAAACCAAGATGACTTCACCCTGTCAGTGCTTAGCCCTGATATAATCTACTCATATTAACTGTTTCCCTTGAGGACTGTAATACTTCAGGCATGTCTACGCTGTCAAATAACTCATGGCTTATTCCCAGGTCCTGATCCTCGTATTGCCCACACTTCACAAATACTTGATGGTGCCCAGGTTCTCTTTAGATATTAATTATAATATCTGTCCAAAACAAGCTCAGAAAAAAAAAAAATAAAAATTAGACTTGATCCATCGTTATATCTGTGAAAGAGCAAGGAGTTTTAGGCAAGTTTTTAATTGCCTCACAACACAAAAGAAGAGTCAAAAATACTGATTACTGGTAAGGGCTCTGTGTTTCAGCATGTTTCATATTTTCTTCCCAGGGGACAGATCTAAAAGGTAGGTAGAGTACTCAAGAGCCGAAGAGCAATTATGTATTATGCAAGATGTTTAAGAAGCAGCTTCAAGGCCATCTTGCCAGTCTCTTCTATCATTTTTTTTTCTTTCTTTCTTTTGGAGAGGCTGAAATCTCTGTCTGAAGCACAACTGGCTCCTACAGGAGATCCATCAGGCTGTTGCACATCCCCTCCTCGCTTTGCAGTTACCAATTTTCTAATTAACTTGCTGTGCCTGCCCCCATTAAATCAATCAGAGCCTTGCCGCTGATTGCAAGGGGAATGGGAGCAGGCTTTTGCAGCAAGGCTCAGCATCTGCTGGAGCCAGGTTTTCCAAGTGGCACCACGTGCAAGTCACCAGTCCCTGGAGGAGCCACCAGCGAGCGAGTTTTTGCCAGTGCTGCTGGACTCAGCTGCGGATGCAGAGCACTTGAAAACAACTTGAGAGCCCAGCGGTGCCCCAGTGAGTGTGACAGCAGTGACGAGCTGTCAGCAGCTCGAGGAGAGGCAGTCGGCGTGCTTCCCCTTGCCTGGCTGAAGCTGAGGGTCTGGTGAGTGGTTGAAGAGGAACATCCAGGCCCCTGAGGTCCCAGGGACACGTCTGAAGTACTTACGCTGTTAACAAGGAGGGAGAAGGAAAAGCTGCTCATCCTGAACACCGGGAGGAATTGAAGTTCTGGTGGTGGTGTTTTTAGGAAACAACAGGGTGTTTGTTGTGTGCTCTTATACCCAAGCCATTGCTAAGTTTGCGAGCAGCTGTCATCAGTGGGGTTTTCAACAAACTGCCAGGCTTTCCCAGACCATGTAGCCTTTTGTTCTCAAAAAACAAATGCCAGCATGTCATCATCTGCTCTCAGTGGCCAGTAAAAGGAATCTCTCACTCTGCCTTAGAGATTTTGCCATCAGCTGCCGAGGGCTCTGGTCTCCGAGAGTCTGTGGGGTCCACCAGGGACAGGCATCTCCTGGCAAAGGAGAGGAGGAATTGCTGAGTGACCTCCCAAAGTGAACAGAACTGATGGGGTGCAGCAGGTTTAGCTAATTCAGCTCCTGGATATCATAGAGTTTATAGATGCTTTAGCATATAACTGGTTTAAAAAAAAAAAAATAATAGGAACTTTATAATTGATTTTAATCTTAAAAAATCAATTTTTTAGTCAGTAAAACATCAGTTTTATGATCCCCTTGATTGAAAAATGATCTTGAAAAATGTGTCCTTACAGTACACCACATACTCCAACACATCAGTGTCCTGTGGCTGTGCTGTGGCTAGCAATGCAGTTATCTGCACTAATATCTGCACCAATATTTCCTTCAGCTACCTGATTCTCTTCTTACTGCCCTTCTCCTGGATCTTACTGTTCTTACTGCTGGCTCCTGGACAGGGCTGCTCACGGGCTTATTGACTTGGGTGAGTTCTGCCACACTCCATTCTTTTTCTCTTAGTTTTATTCTTCTGCAAATCTTACAGCTTAGTAGGATTGATTATCCTACTTACCTGTTTCTATCCATGCAGCCAACCTCCATTTCCAACCCTAACCATGTGTGATTCTGTGAATTTTTTTATTTTTATTTTTATTTTCTGAAGGACTGAGAGTCAAATCCCTAAGACACCCAGGTAACTGACCTGACATGGAAATCAAGAGGACCTTATTACAAAAAAACCTCTGATACACATTGGCCCACCAGCCCACGGTTTGTATCTCAGGGCACCTCTCACATCTGAGCTGCTAGATTGCAGCGTGGGGAAAAGCATCACGGATTTCCCCTTTGCCTGAGCATTAGTGGTCATACAGAGGAGTCAGCATGGCTTGGATTCAAATCTGCGGGGGAAATCAGCCTCTGAAATAATTACTCATCTCAGGGAAATTGCAGCAGGGTTGATTATAATTAGCCTGACTAGTATATGTAGCGTTCCTTAGTTTTTAACCTCCAATCACATAGGCTCATGCGCTTACATTGGTCAATATCATCCTCCCGGTATTTTTATTCAAATGAGACATTTGATAGAAATTCACTCCTACAAACATGTATATGTGATTTCTCGTCATTTTGTACAGTTTTCTCAGAAACCTGTTCTAGCAATACAACATTGTACTTTTCAGCAGTTTTCTTGTACTTCTTCTTCTACTATGCACTGTCAGATTGTACTTGTCAGCCTCTTTTATTCTCCCTCTAAATATACTTTCTAAAAATGTTTAGGTTTTCCCCTTATGGTTAACATCTGTGGGACTTTCACGTACTCCGGTAGTGATCAGGAAACATAAGCCAAGAAGCAACAATTTCAGATTGCATTCCCGATGTAACAATCCTGCCTCTGTTACAGGCAGAACGCACATGGGTCTTCATTGTGAGGCAAAGCCCGGATCAACTAGAATTCAGGGAAGATGAATAATCAGAATCAGAGATAAAATTCAAGGCAACTTGCAGAAACTAAGCTGTTAAAATGCTGTGCAAAGTGTGGGAGTTGTCACTGGTTTGAGATTTGTAGCCCTTTGCTTGTAAAGCCCAAACATTGAGGTTCATTTACACTGACTGTTCACATTTCAGGATCTGAGACATTTAAAACAGCTCTTGAAATAACCTGGGATAGCTCCTGCTTTTTTTCATTATTTTTTTTTTCTCCTGCACAGTCACCTTGTCGTTTTAAAGTCTGGTGTCTTGGGATCTCATAAAGCTCAGAGAGCAAGTGCTGTGTGAGAACGATCTCCTGCTTCCCCAGCAGTACGGAGCTCCTGTTTCTACTCCAGAGGAGACAAAGCCTGTGAGATACGGCTGATGTCCATCTTTCCCTTTTTTGGGTCAGCAGGTAGGACTCCAGAGCTGTCCTGTGTTCAGCATTTGAAATGAAAGACTGAAACGTTTACTTGTCTGGCTGTGGCTTTCAGAAAAGCTATGGGAAGCTGCTCCTCAGAGCCTTGGGATATTATGCCTATTGCCAAAGAAGGTGGAGTAGAGGGAGGAGAAATATTATGTGGGCAATAAAATGTAACAAGCGTATTGTGTTTTATGGCTGCTGCCTTTGCATTTATGGTATGTAGATGTCTGCAGTCTGTATGTGCAAGCAGAAATGTCTTTGTGTCTTTGTATTATCAGATACTAGCAGGGCACAGGCTATCTCATCCATTGAAATCATAGTTATTTTTTCCTTTAAGAGCTAGAAAGAGAGCTTTATTTCTCAAGAACGGGAGATGATTTAACTAGAACAGTTACAGGTGACTTCCTCCATCACAGTCAGTACATTTCTGAGTTCACAGTAATTGGCTTAAGGGTGTATTTTGTTCGATTTTCCCGAAGACATTTGTATTACTGTCTAAAAAAAAATGGGTATTTTTCAATTTGTAATTCTAGTCTAGTGGCAAAATGTTAAACAATTTCATACCGAGGTGTATATTCTATTTTCAGCCCTTCAGCACTTGGACTGTAATGACTTAGTTCCCCCACAGCAGTTTGCTGAGGGAATGTGTTTATTCCTCCAGGGACTGAGCATACATATGCCTGGGACACTGTCGGTCTGTGGCAATTTAAGAAGTTGCTGTTTGCAAGATGAGGTGCTGTGAATCATGCAAATATTCCTAGTTTACCCCAAAGTGAGATAAAATTCCTTCAATTAAACTGCCTTCCTTTGGGTTTAAGCTGCGTGCTTTATTTAACAATTGGAGCAACCCAAGAGAACTTATTCTGCTGATGGCAGTGGGTCAGAGAAATAATGAAAACTTATTAAGCCACCTTAACTCAGTTGTGTTTAATCATATGTCCAAAACCAGGTGCCCCTGCTCCACACCTGTGAGATTCTACCCTGCTGAAGAAGGCAGTGGCAGTGAAAATGCAGAAAGCATCCTAAGATCTGTCCAGACACAGAGTGGATGGCTCCAGCAGTTCTGGAGGTGTGGATGTTCAGCTTACTCATGTATGCAAGTAAAGGTAAATGCTGTCAGTTCAGAATTTTCCTTTCCGGATCCTAACAAAGCTTTCTGTTTACTCTGTAGAACTTTAAAGTATTTTACAGCTGACATTACATTCCGTATTACCTCCTCCATCATTTTCCACTTGAATCAACCATGTACCGAACACTAGCGACGTGATTTGGCAGCAGTTTCCCAAGAAGTCAGCGAACACACTGGATTCTCATCCCTAAAATATTAAATCTCCAAAGTAGACTGCAGAGAATTATTCAGTCTTAGTCTTCCTTGAAAGAGACACGGGCCTCAGACTCACTGTTGTGTCACTGGGGTTTCATAAATCATTGCTCATCTACTGAGCTGCTGTAGCTGTCCTCACACAGGCACACATAGCTTAAATCTCTTCTCTTGTGGACTGAACTGAAATCCACTCATTTTAACAGCACACACATCATCGCTTGCTGCCAGATCGCTGGGTGCACGGTGGCTTGGTGATCAGTTCTGACTCACTCAGGAGTCTGAGCCCTTAATTCTTTGTGATCAAGAACGATCCCAGCAGCATTTTGCAAGAACAGGGACGTTTTTACTGGAGTCCCATGAAGGAGAGTGTGTAGCTACTTTCTTGAAAATTTTCCTTTGCATTATCAACCGAGTGTAATTTTCTTTTTTTATGGTTTTGGGTGAAGTTCCTGTGTAATGTTAAACAGCTGCTTTGTTACATTCAAGTGATGGATGGAGTTATTCCTGCTGAGATGCAATTTCTTAAACACTTTGGCATCTTAATGAATGAAAGATGCTCTCCACTGAAGGTAAAATCACTTAGATCACCTCAGAACTGAGCTCTGAACATGTGACTATGCTGAAGCCCGGGAGCCCAAGTGCTGAGCCACTGAAATATTTGGGGTGGGAAGGAGGAATTCCACCATTAGCTAAAATAATGTTTGTGTTCTTTTTTTTTTTTTTTTTAAAAAAATTATGTTTCTGAAATATGCCTTCAGAAATGTGTAGTGCCTTTAGAGAGGCAGTAGAGAGTGTGGGGTGGAGCAGCTCATGGAAAAACACAGCCTGTGATTTCTTCTTGCAGCCCACAGCTAAAAGGAAGGGATGCTGTTGGTCCTCTACCCCCAACACACAACCAGCAGCAGTGTTAGCAATCCCCATTCCTTGGATTTTTGGGCAGGGACAGCTTTAACTGTGACTTCTTTCTGAGTGGCTGCTACAGGGCTGGGGAATGCTGCACTGCTGCTTCCCTCTTGGCAGATTATTCCACCCTTTATCCTACCTTCTTTCTAAGATTAGCTTTCTGGAAATAAATAATTCTTAAAGCCAGGACATGAATTAAAATCTGTATGGACCAAATGCACCCTTAGCTGTCTATGCAATAGCCCCTGAGATAAATGTTCATGGCTGATGACAGGTGATTCCCACAGGTGTTGTACTGTTTAGGCTGAGTCCCAGGGTGGATGGTTGAGCAAATCCTGTTCAGCTATGGCATCTTGTTGTTCTTGAACAGATCTTGCCCTTCCACAGCTGTCCTACAACTCAGGTTTCTCTAAAACACAGGCTTCAGCTGTGTGGTTTTTAACAGAAAAGATACCCCAAAGAGACACCTGCTTCCTCCGTCTGGGGCCATGCTCGTGTTCGTGTAGAGGGGAGCCCCTCCACTTTGACCGTATCAACAGAAATGCATAAGAGCAGAAGCAGAAAGAGCACTTTTACACTGCATTCACCAACACATTAAAAAAAAAAAAAATAAAAAAGTCCACCAGGACCAGTTATGGGCTTGTTCCATTTCATGTCACAAAACAATTGTCTCTGTGCATGCCGATGCTTTTAGAGCTGACACTGCTGTTGACTTACAAGCTGTGTTCACGACGTCTGCCCATTGAGTACAGATTTCCATAAGTACAGCACCACGGTGAACAAATCAAACGTACACTCACGCCACAACCAGAGAACTGCTGTAGGAAGCACGTCCACCTGAACCTCTCACATCCCTGCCCGTGTCTCATTATCATAAAGTGAAAATACCAGCATAACGTCACCAGGTTTTCTGTGAACTTAATCACAATGGCTTGGCAAGCATCTTTGTGTTGCTGTGGTACTGACACGTTGCTGTTATACAAAAAGTGGAGAAAGAGGAGTCTCCCCAAGCTGAGGAATGCTGAGCTGCTACTCAGTAGCTCAGTTTCTCGTTCTGCCAAAGACTTGCACTGTGGCCTTGGCTCAGTTTGGATGTATTGGATATGTGTGGATATATTCAGACCACCTGCTTTAGCACCAAAGATAGATGCAGATGCTTTCTAATCCAGGTTCAGGAGAGATCTTGGGGCCATATTCAGGCTGCCTTTTATACATGCTCATATTGCTATCACAGCTACTCCTTGGCTGGTCTAACACTGGCCCAAGAAGCTTTCTGGTGGCCATCTAAGTTCCTGTCACAGTCCACATGCCATGCAAGGCAGTCTGAATACAGCCCTTCATCTTTTGTGCCTCAGCCCCTTCATCTTTGATGCAGGGACAGTAACAGCAAGGCTACGGAGGTGTTCAGGTCCCAGGAAAGAGGACAGCACGGCTACTGTAACAGGCAAAGATGTGCTATGCTGCAATAACACAAGGGGACCTGGTTTTAGAGGAGCTCGTCATCTGCAAGGGCTTACTGCAGAGCTTGACACTGCAAATAGAAAATCCAAGAGTTTAAAAAGAGATAGAGAAGTGAGCAAGAGTGCACCCTGGCATCTGTAGCAGCAATTTTACATCGAATGTGCTGTATTCCAGCTCAGCTATTTCCAGATGGCACTGGAATGTATTTTACAATTTCCTCTTGCAGTTGACTGCTAAAATACATATCTATAGTACAACAAAGATACACACAAGGGTGAGTTATTGCCTTTTCTTCATTGTACACCCTTTCCCAAACATCTGGAGCTTAATTTCTGTGGCATTTAGTCTTCCTCAGAAGAGTATCTTTGCCTGGAAACACAGTATATGCAGCAGCTACAAAAGATAAGGAGAAAGAGCACGGTATGGCTGATAATGAGCACACCAACAGCAAAAATGTACAGGGTTTTGTCACAGTAATCCTGAGGCTGGTGGAAAGGTGGGATGAAATTTGGCAGGTACACGGAGAAAACCCAGTAGTTCCCAAGAATGAACCAGAGGAAGAGGAAGAGGCTGAGGGTTAGGTGGATGTAGTATTTGTGAGCGTTCTGCCTCCAGGGATATTCGTCGTCGTCGTCGTCATCGATCACAACAGACTTGGAAAGCAGCTGCCTCATCCTGGTGGAGTCGTACAGCAGAAGGGTCACCTGGAGACGTTGGGGGAGAAAAGGCAGTAAGTAAATTGGGTGGGGAGAGTCTGAATACCTTCTGACCACTGCCAGCTTTTCGGGCAAATTAAAATTGAGCCCGGGAAAATGGCGTAAGAGGAATCAGAGCAGCCACAAACGGGGCAGATTCTGCTGGAAAATAATAAGATTTTGCATACAGTTGATTCACCAGTTAGATTTAGGGTAGGACATGGAAAAAAAAAACTTGCCAATGGTGGGGACAGAAAGGCATGGGAACAGATTATGTGGGGAAATGGCAGCAGCTCCCTCAACGGAGATTTTAAAGAACAGATCAGAGTCACTGCTAAATTTGTTGAGGAGAGTAGTTCCTGCCTTGTAGTGGGTGGATTTGTCTCTCCTAGCTCCGTTTAGCATCGCCATATAGGTTAATCAGGTGGGCATCCTGGGAATGGGATTCTCTTGCTTTTCCCTGTCAAACTGACTGCTCCATGCAGCTTGTTAGCTTCGAGGTGAGCTCAGGACACAGGCTGGTGCCTGTGCTCAGGCCTCATCATGCTCAGTGATGGAAACGGGGTTAATTGGTGGATGAGCCTCAGTTTGGAGGAAGTCAGAAAGCCCTCCCAGCTGGATTTATAGAGCTCAACTGTATCTGACGAGTTTTGGAGAAGTGCATTTAAATCTTACATTCACTGCCTTGCCAAGCTGCGATTGAAGCACGTTCTGGCTGTCGCTCACATTGTTAATAACTGCAGAATTATCTGCTTATGGAGCACCACCACATGAATTCAGCAGGGCTCTGCAGGCACTGTAGGATGGCTCAATTGCCTTGGTGAACACCTACAGGTCACCACTGCCTTTAAAAGACTGGAGGTCCAAAAGAAACTGGTGAGAAACCTACAGATCTGCCCAGATCCTTACAACCAGAATGACTTTTAGGTCTCTGATTTCAGGCTAGCCCAATGTACTGCTCAGGCACAGCTCCCATCACCCAGCACCAGTCAGTGCAGAGTTTAACAGGGTAGAATTTAGGCAGTGGAATTTAGCTGGAGATGAAGCGCTATGAGATGACATGAGTTAGGCAAATCAAATTCCGACCAGATATATCACCAGGCTGCAAAATACGCAATCCTGCTGTCAGCTGAAACCAAATTCAAGCCATCGTTTGATGTCAGCAGGAATTATTAACCGACCCACTCATTTTGGTTGAGAAAAACTGGATTCGAATCAGCAATAGCTAGGAAATCGTCAACGTTTTTGATGAATGCTTCAATTCATTAGCCTGAAAATTTCCTTTCAACTCTGATCTAATCTTTTCTAAACCATTATTAAATGAATCTTTGATTATACAAATGGGCCCGATGCTGTGATTGAATGACTAAGCATTTGCCAGGCGAACTCACAGCGTAGCAAATCCATACAGCCAGATTAAGCACTTTCTTTGTTCCCCATTTACTTATTTACTGACCAGAGGTCCTTGCAGTGATGATTCATTTCCCAGTGATGTGCTACAGTGTGGTTACCACTGCGAAAAGAGCGCAGGGGATGTAGAGACCTGCAGGGGAATATTCTTTCCCCCTTCTTTCAATCCTGGCAAAAGAAAATGAGCTAGAAACATTATCAAAGGGGCCATCCTTTGCCCTGGAGTTTATGCAGAGCTGAAGCTTTGTTATAGTGCCCAGGGTGTGACACAGACATGGGGGTACCTGGACTTGTCAAGCTGCCAGGCTCTGGCTCAGCAAAGATAAGAGTATAGTCTACTAGAAAATGGGGAGCTGTGGTTAGAAAATACTGTGCCTAAATTAATAAACCTTGTTTTTTTCCTCAAGGAAACAGGACCCCATTTGCCACAGCCAGCCACGTTCTGCAGGCATTTCCACCGGCAGGGATGGTAGCACAGATGCTGTGATGCAGGAGAAAGTCACACCACGCTGTGTGGGACAACGCTGAAGAAAACTCATTAGCATCTCACTTTGCCTGATGGGAGCTTTAAGTGCTGGAACAGGCACGGTTCAATCCAGGGAGCTGCCTTCAGTGCTGCGTGCACGTAGCTGTCTGGAGCCATCATTATGTCTTAACTAGCAAGTCAAAGTCTAGTCACACAAGATATTTCTCACACATACGAGGCACATTACCTTTAAGCTGCCAATCACGCCACCCACCAGCAGATATAATGGAATTAGTGGCTGAACTGGGCAGTCTTCCAAAAACTTCATTCCTGAACGGCAAAAATTAATAGCGTTTGTTATCTCGAGCGATCAAATAGTGCAACGAGCTATGCAGTGGAAATTAAAGGTGCTGCAAGAGGAGCACAGTTAATCCGAGCCGGGTATGCTGCTCCTTAGCATCAGCCACCTCATTTTTGTTGAATGAGCAGTTGACTTTGCTGGGTCAGGGAATTTTCATTAGGAAGTAGAAAACTGAAAATTAAAACCATTTGTGAAAAAAAAATGAATTCTGATAAGCTTCTCCCAGGTCTATCCTGCTCATTAGCACCACGCGTGTGTCATGTTCCTAAGTCAGATGCCTCAAAGCTTGGGTGCCAGCAACCGTGGGAGCTCCTCGAGCCATTTCAGCCTCCCAACCAGCTGATGGGGAACCAGAGAAGCTCAAGTTTCCAGGCTGTTTGGGTTGCTGGAGGCTAAAAGCGCTGGTTGTTATGGAGCCAGGGATCCTGGCAACCCTCAGATCTACTGCTAGAAAGCTGAGTAGGATTTAGGGAAGGGAATATATGGCAGTGCAAGGATGATGTTGGCATTAGACACTGAAGCTTGTGATACAGGTCTGTGGCAGTGAGACTCATCTGTCCAAATTTAGATGTCTGCAATGCAGGCATCTATATCTGAACTAGTTTCCTAGACTCTTTATAGTCAATAGGGAGAAATAGACACTTCGAAAATTCAATTCCTCTCGTCCTAAGATAGGCGTTTAAAATAGGTCAGATGAATTGTGCCCTGAAAGTGCCTCTTTCTCTCTATAACTATACAAGGAATCTAGACAGCCAGCTGTAAATACCTAAAGTTAGCAGGGATGAATCATTTGCCCAAGTCTCCTACCCACTGGCATCTTTAGTCAATTTTAAACTCTTCATTACACTATAATTTTGTTGTCATTGATCCCATATTTCAGGCCTTCTGCTGATCAGCTGCAGAGGCCAGAAGAGATTTTCTGCTTTCTTCTTGGTGCATAACTTGTTTTCTAGGAGCATTTTTGACTTCCCTCTCAACAACTGGGGTTCTCTAGATGCAGGACACTGAAAACAACATGCTGCTCTCAGTGCTAAACATCTCTTAAGCAGAACATCTTGCCTCTATGTTCAGAACTACACCAAAAAGGATGCTTAGGATAAGGAAGGAGGTAACAGTGCTTTCTGGTTTTGTTGGTTTTTCCTGCTTCTATAGCTGTGGCCCTCTTCAGCTTTTCAATTTGCCCACCAAATCCACTCCCGTTGCTGGTCCAGAATATTGCTGACACTCTGAACCCCTCCCACACATTATTCATAGCATAATATAGGTGTCCTGCATTGTGGTTGCTCGCTAATTTTAGGTTAGTTGTAGGATGCAGTGATCTGCTGTGTCTCTGGGCTGAGTCCAGTGGATTCTCCTAGACTAAATATTTATATCAGTCTTCTTGAAATTCAAAAGGGCTGGACTTGGCTGGACTTGGCCTCTCTCCCTTTTTGTCTGCTATTCCCAAAGCTGCAATTTTTTGTCCATTTTGCCACTATCTAACACTGAGGCCTGCTCAGACTTTCAAATGTAAAGAGGTGGGCAGCAGGGACATCACTGAAAATTATCTCTTTTTCAGAAAGCAGCTGCCAGTGTTTCCAGAGTCCTTGGTCCTGCAATAGCCTGCCTCAAAAGCAGCTGGTCAGGGAGCTCAAGGAATATATTTCAGTTTAGGAACCCAGGCAATTGTTATTTCCAGTGTATTTCCAGTGTATTACTGAGATTTTGATTTGAGGGGAAAAAAAAAAGGAAGAAAAAAATCAAGAAAACATGCCAATATTTTTCTTGGAGCTAAGATTCTGTTTCCCAGACCAATCTGTTATGGTGTCCTTCCATATATGTAGCATGACAGCAGTCAGTCTTGGGAACAATTTGAATGACAGGAGAATATTCCAGACAGATATGACAGGAAAAGAGGAGGTGAAAGGAAGTAATGCGGTTGTAACTTCAAAAATGCAGCACTGTGGGTGAACAGGGAATATGGACCTAGTGTTGGCAGATGGGCTGTGCTACATGTTACAGTGAAATCTGGGTGCATGTGTCTTGTGCTAACCAGTTCACACACAGCATATGCGTGATTTATTTGGGAACACCAAAACAAGGAAGAGCTCGTTTTGGCTCTTAATGATGGGGTAGATGGACCGTGAAAGATCAAAGCTCTGCTTTGAGTCGAGTGCTCCCTGCAACCCACCCTGGCACCAAGCATTGGCCTCATTTTACCTCATTTTAATTGCTTTACTCTTCTCAGGCAGCTGAAAATGGCTGAAATGCACCTCGATGCACCTTGTACCAAAGGAGTGTGGCTTCGTGGCACTGAGGGACGTGGTTTAGTGATGGCACTCAGTAAGTCAAGTTGACGGTTTGACTTGAAGTCCTTGAAGATCTTTTCCAGCCCAAATGATTCTATGATTTTCAGGTAAGATCAATCTGATGTCTGCTGCCTGCTCCCCACCTTCTCACCTGGCCTTTTTCTCTTGTTCCTAGGGGATGGCTGCAGCCACCATTGCGTAGCCCAGCCCTCTGGCGGGCCCTGGACTGGGGGCCTTACCCTAGGATTTAGGTTCTGCAGCGGATTTATTGCAAAGTGAGTACTCTGGGCACCATTTTATCAGAAAACGTATCAGCAATTCAGGGGAAACTCACAGAATCCCTGCAGTGGCTGCAGGAATGAAATGCAAGGAAAGGTTATGTTAACAACAGCCACTAAAGATCAAGACTGGCTAAACACAGTACAGAGTATCAGAGCAGTCTTCAGACAACTATTGGGAGCACTTGAGGGTTGAGGAATTATTTAATTTGGTATAGACATGAGCACAAGGAGTAGTACTGTGTTAAATTTGAACAGGGGAAGACTTAGACTGGCTACTGAGACAATGATGTCATCAGCCTTCAGATCTGATTTAGCTACCCCTGGGGAACACTGCTCATAAAGACAGCCTGGACAATGCACAGGATTGTGTTATTGGGAGCAATCTTTCACTGTCCAGAAAACTAGGAAAAAATCTCCAAAAAACAAAAGTCTAGGAGGTCCTTCCATCGCTGTCATTATTATTGGAGTGTTTAATGAAAAATGTATCAGCCCTACCAGCAAAAGTTAGAAATTTGCTGAACAAGCCACGGCTTAAATTATGTCACAAATCTGGAGCTTGGAAAATGTTGTGACTCCTTTTCATGTGTCATGACTTCTTACACTGTGATTTACAGTACTACTAAAATTGTAAAATGTATGTTGTTCGTGTATAATTATTACCAGAGCTACCAGTTATTCATCTCCATTTTTTAACTAATATTATTATAATTTATTTGTTAACATCTGAAAATATCTCACAGTTTTCCTCTGCAGAATGCAAGAGCCAAAATGACTGGTGACACATCAGCAAGTTATTCTCTGAGATCATGGTAACAGACTGTTATAAAAAAAAAAAATCAGAGGCTTTTGCTCAGATAATAAATATCTGCATTTTCCTTGACATTTAGTTTTCCTAAAAATGCCGTTGCAGATATGCAGCTGCTGGAAACCAACATCCTCTGACAACACCATATTACGGTGACATTATCTCTTAATTTCAGTAAGTCTTCAGTAAGTCTTAATTTCAGAAAAAAAAAAAAAAAAAAAAAAAGGGATCTGTATCTGATGGAGGAGATACCCACAGCTCCAGGCTAGTGTCTTACTTTACGCTTTCCACTTCTCTCTGATCTTAAGATCTAATGAAATATTCCTGAGAAATGATATTTAAAAGTGGTCAGATTCCAGCCACATATTCATTTCCAGGAGGCTAGCTGTCAACATGCATGCAAGCTGTACTGCACTTGAAATTTTACCTTCCCACCCCTATTCCACAGCTCAGGCATATTCAGCCTAGGGAAAAGCTAAAGCTGAAATCCTCTTATGGGATAAATAGCAATTTTAAGTCATGGCTAAGCAGAAGAGCCTATGTGTTGAGATGTAACAGTTCAGCCCATCTCCCTAGCTCCTAATTGCTTCTTAATCCCTAATTAGAACTCCCTAATTCTTAATTAGGACACCCAAATCAGAGTCCTGCCACAGCCGTCACTGGTATTCAGAAGGCCCCAGCTGAAGGGAGCAGTGCCAGCCTGGAGCTGAACACATTTTCACAGTTCTGGCCAAATTCTAGATGCCTACATTTAGGCTGGTTGTCCAGCTCCCTTGAAAGCCATCTCCTCCCAGTGCAGACAGCTGAAGGAGGCTGTGGGACTTTCGCTGCCCAAAATGCCCATCTCTCTTAACTGGCTGCAGGGGAAACAGGCAGCGCTGAGCTTGGCTACAGATGTGTACAGTCCAGAGCCAGGTGGGATGCATCCTGCCCACAGCATCTGCATGCAGAGCTCCTTTGCGCAAGGCCATCGTTAATAATGAGGCAGAAGGTGGGCGGGTTCGCAAGGACACCGAGCTGGAATGGTTGGTAGGGATTTTGAGGACAAGACTTACAATGTAAAGTGACCTGGATACTCTGGAAAAAGACATCCAAAATCTATGAGATGACACCTGATAAAGTCAAGCACTACGTCTGGGAGAGGAAACTGAAATGTAAGTTAAAAAAAATCGAGGAATGTCTGATAGGGAGCAGCACTGCCAAAAAACATCTGGGCTTGCAACGCACCATAAACTACAGCAGAGCCAACGAGTTGGTACGGAGAGCATCCTTCATTCTGAGCTGCATTTACAGGAATCCTGCAGGTTAAGCAGAGGAGGAAATTATCCTGCACCACTCGTTCCTCGGGTCTCAGCTGAGCCTTGTGTTCTGTCATATTTTTTTTTTTTTGTGGGGGAAAAAAATAAGTTCCAGAGGCCAAAGGAGGGAGGCAAAAGAGCTCTAGAAAAAAAGTGGCCTGTGAGGTCAGGCTGAAAGAATTGGGTTTTTGAGATCTCTGGGGAAAAGAGAGATGGAGTGGGGTTGTAACAGGAACCTTCAAGTACTTCAAAGCTTCTCATGGGTAGGACAGCAGCCAATCTATCTTTGTGATCACGGGGCGTAGGACAGGCTGTAATCTGTTTCGTTTGCCATGGGGAAGATTTAGATTGGATAGGGGGGGGAATATTTTGTCTGTGAGAGCAATAAAAGGCTGAAATAATCTTCTTGGGAAGCTGGGGAATTTCCTTGAGTAAGGACAAGTCCGATGTCTGCTGGGGTGCCCTGAGCCTATCTGAAAGGGGAGGGGGCTGCTGCCTCCACTGATGTGTCTCAAATGTGGGTCACAGCCCCTGGGGAGGAGGTGGAAGCCCCAAAGGAAGCAGCGAAGGGTTAGAAAATGCATTATTTTAAAATCTGTATTAATGATAAGGAAAAGCTGCTGCTCAGGGAAGGAAAGAGCCTCACACGGTTTAACAATGTATAAAATTATGCAAGTCAAAGTCTTTTTCTTTCCTTTCTTAAATATTTGATCTTTAATGCTGCTTGCAAATCCAGCCTTCAGGTGGCTATAAAGAGACAGATGAGCCAAAAAACAGGTCGAGCTTTCAAAAAGGCAGAGAAATAGCAGCCTAGATGATCTTTTCCTCCCTTCCAGCCCTATGCTTCTAGGATTTTTGTGGCTCAGATCCTGATTAATGAAATCTTCTCGTGTCTCGGATGCTCAGCTTCCTCCCACAGACCGAGCCCAACCACCCCCAGCCCCTTGCCAGCTGCTGGTAGCCTAAGCAGCAACTGAGCTGAAGTAAATACACCGCTATCAACGTGAATTAAAACAGGGCTGAGGCTCAGAGCATGTCAGCAACTTCGTGGTAAAAAGAAAGCACAGAGTGGTTCAGGTTGGAGGGGGCCTCTGGAGGTCACCTGGCCCGACCCAGTGATGGGAAGTGTTTCAGATGCCCCCGAAATAAGCCATGTGCAGCCAGAAAATTCAGAGTTATGGGTAAATATAGAGAAACTGAAACCTGGTTAGACTCCAACATGTGTCAGTAAGGCCTCCAAATGTCCTGACCCCTGCCCTGTGCTGGGGTGGCTCACACCAGAGATGTATTTGAGACAAACAGGATCAAAATTCAAGAGCTGCTTGCTCCCCGCCATGCAGCGTGGGCTGTGCTTCTCTGTCTGAAGCTTAAATACCAACACACGGGGCTAACAGTTGGGAACTTTAAGGTCGCCTACTCATTTCTCCCACGGGATAACCTGCTTCACAGCGTCAGGAAATCCATATTGTTGCATTGCTGTAACAGTCGACTTACCTGTGAAAGTCATGGACAACGGCAAGGCAAGGAAAGCAAGGAGCCCGAATATAAAGCATGCTGTGAATGGAAAAAAGAAAGAAAATACAGTGTTATTGGGGCTGGTTGAAGTTTAAAGATCAGAAGTCCCATCCAGTGCTTTCTGGATGCTACTTATCCATAAAGAAGTGTAGCAAGAAAAGGGGTGCAGCGGGAGGATGCCATGTTTATTGACCAAGATGAGGCCAGCAAGCGGTTTGTTGCCCTCCCAGAGCTCAAGCTTCCATCTTTTAACTAAATCTTTTTAATCCTTACATCAGTAATAAAACAAGGAGAGCCACAAGGTGCTTTTGTTGCTGCTGCTGCTTCCAGATGTCTCCTTGCAAAGGCGAGGACTCGGCCGCTGCCCTTAGCCCATACCAGCTCCCGACACCGCCGGGTGCGGCAAGTACCTTCGTGTGAGCTAACCCATGGCAAGTGATGAGCCGTAGCTGTTTGCTGAGCCACTACGCTCAGTTTTCCCTAACAGAGATGGTCCTCGTTGCAGATGTGAAGAGTTTTTGACTGGTGTAACTCCCTGACACAGCTCAGTGCATGCGGCCCTGCTGCTCGGAGGGGGACTTGTCCCAGGGATAGAGCAGCTCAGGCTTCGCAGAGGGATGCTCTTGGGGCTGCACGTCAACTCTTCCCTGGAATAAGTGGATCTGAGGTGCTCAGTTACTCCTTGGAGAGCCACTGGTGTGTCTGAGCCCTGGTACTTCCCCAGCACAGCCTGCTGCTGCAGAGGATGAGTGCTTACCTTTGCAGAAACCCAGAAATAATAGCGTCAATAACAGTGCGAGCGGCCCGTCTTTTACCAGAGCTGTCACCTCTGTGCCTAATCACAAGCACTTGGCAATATTAAAGCGAGCTGCTGCTCCGAAAAATGAGGAGGAAGCATAATGAGGAAATGCTGTGGCGAGCATCCCTGAGGAGCACTTCTGTGCAAGTAGCTGCCCAAGGAGGCAAAAGAGCAGGACGTGGAGGTAGGCACAGATTGCACAGGGGCTGAGGAAAATAAAAAAAAGAGTAGGATGTCTCCTCGGAAGCTTATGAAAAAAATCCCAGCTCGTGGCCCAGAACTGCAGCCTCTGCAAAACAATTTCTCCTCCTGTTACAGGAGGAGAAACTGAGGCAGGGGACACAGGGGCACCATCAAAGTTCAGGCGTCACCCGTATTTTTGAGGCTTCACCTCCTCCTCCTGTGTGGTGCATGATCTGCCCGCAGGGATGCTGTGGGGAGCTCTGTAAAAGGCTCGCCAGGACCCACATTTATTTGGGGCCGTGCATCTGGCTCACAGGTGGCCGGGTTTGCGTCTACCCAAAAGCTGGATTTTGGAGGAGAGAAATGGGAGGCAGGGACCGCTCGCTGCTGCTCGGGAGGGAAAGATAATGGCTCATTAATTCCCCTCCCAGAGCAGTCGCCGGGAATGTATTTACTCATTATCTCCCCATTCAGCTCCAGCCTCTCAGGTCTGGAATTGGAGGGGCAGATGCGTAGTCTGGGAAGGTTTCCAGCTCCGTGCTCACCAGCGTGAGACGCAATTGCCTACACAACTGGCAGGGCTCTGCGTGGCTCTGAGCGTTTTCCCCCAAAATGTGAGCGTGGAGGGGCGGTTCACAGAAACTGCTCCTCAGGCAGGACACACGCGTGCTTTGCCTGGATTTGCCTGGTTTGTGCTGCCCCAGCCTGGTCTGAAGACAAATTGCTCAGGAAAATGATATTTGCTGCGAGGGCAGCCCGGTTCTGCAGAGAGGGAGCTGCTCTCTGCGTGGTTTCACACGTGGTGGCTTCAACTTGGGGGTACCACCACTGGGCAGAGACGCCCCTGGACCTATTCTGAGAAAAAGTAGCAAGAAAAAAAAAAAATAATAAAGCTAGTAGTCTCTAAAACCACAGGCAGGTGAGGGAAATACTCCAAGGCATGGCTCAGAAGAACATCTGCTCCGAGGAGCTGGTGTCAGGGCATCAGGCAGAGCATCACCGCTGGGCACCTCTTTGGTGTTTGACATGAGCCTACCCAGTAGAGTGTGTGACAAGCTCCCTGACACCAAACGCAGTAATAAATGAGGTTTTGGGTTCTTTAGCCATCACTCTCAAATGCTGTTTGTTCTGTGGCCTGCCAGGTTTTTGCCACAAGTCTATGTCCTGATAAAAAAGGAATTATTATTATTATTTATTTATTTTTGATGAGCTGCTACCAGCTTCCAACCAAATTTTGCGTTCACCCCTGGGTTTGTCTTCATGGGCAAGCTGAGGAGCAGAAGCCATGGTGTGAATTCACATTACTCCCTTCTGACACTCAAATTCGGGTGCTGGGACCTGGGATGGATCATGCCTTGGGGCAGATGCACTGTGGCAGTGTGGGTGCAGCCTTGGAGATGACTGGAAATCAGCAGGAAGCTGGCAGTGTAACAGCATGCGTACGTGTAGCAGGTGTCTTCATCCCCAATTTATTCCTTCGTGGTGTCTGCAGGAATCCCCTACAGTACTGAGAGGAGCTTGGGGAGGGCTCCAGCCCCAGTACAAAGCCACCATGGGGAAGCAGAGAGGTGTGACAGAGCTGACTTGCAAACCAAATCCAGCCTCAGAGATGCAGCTGTTTGCTGTGTGCCATCACCGTCTGCTTAGCAAAGCTTGTGCTGCTGTGAAATAGCACCTGGGCACCCAGGTAAGCAATGTCAGCACCACGACACCTAGAAATTAAGTTGCTGGCTCCAGCACTGACACCAGCAGTGCTTCTCTCACCTGCAGTGGTGTAGAAGAAGGAGGTGCCGATTACCTGGGACCTTCAAGCTGCTGGGGAGGGTGTATATGGGTTGTAGGTACTTTGGGGTTTAGGCAGTGCTGCAGAACAGCTTGCCTGGGTGTTATGGCAGGTCTCTAGCTACTGAAGTAGAGCCATGTCACATTTTCAGTCCTTTATTTGGACCCTTGTGATTAATTTCCAGATGTACTTTTTAAACACAATACAGGCATTGCATAAAGAGCCATCGGTTTGCTTTGCGATAGACCCAGCATAGAGAATTAGCCTTTATTTTATTCCTTTCGGTCAGTTAATTAAAGCTGCCCTGATGTTCTGAACTTAAATTGCTGTGCCAACAATGAAAAGAATTTAAATGATGCTGCACAAGTAGGTTGTCTCTTCAGAGTCGTTTAAATACCAGGAGACCATAGGTACAATATGGGGCTGTGCTGAAAAATATACCCAGGATGATGAGAAAACGTGAAATTGAGCACCAGTGCACTTCAGAAGGGCTTGCATTTTAATGAACAGAAAATCAATTTGGGATGCACTGGCTGATCCATAGCTAAAGCTGGGCTGATTTCAAACTTAAAGGTAAAGAAAAGCTAAAGATGATGGATTTCTTGGGAGGGTATTTTCCTCATGCATGGGTGACCGCGTGTATCCAGGAGGGTGCTCCTGATGTAAGGGAGCACAGATGAGATCAGAACTAATCCCATTCTTTAAAAAAAATGTTCAGAAAGATCATCTGTTTTCTCAGCCATCCTAAAAGCCCCAGTGGCAATATAATACCAGGAGGGAGCAGTAACCCTGGGGGCTCCTTCAGTGCCAAACCCAAGAGCAGCCCCAGCCGCTTTCCTGAATTTTGCTTTTCCCAAATCCAGTCACACTGAAATGCATTTGGGAGTCTTCACTGATGCTGTTTTGTCTGAAGGCCTGCAAGGCAGCGAGGAACTACGAGGCTTAATCCCTGTAAAAGTTCATTCTGAACTTGGAGAGCTGTGCAAGTGAAGCCCAGGCATTAATACAGAAGCCCCCAAGGTAACAGCCACGGGCTGACAAGTGCAGTTGTTTGCGTGGGTGAAGCATCGATTATGGGGAGTGGTGGAGTATATTAAGGAGTTTTCTTCCTCGCATACTTGAGTGGAATTAGAAGTTGTTACTACCAAAAACTGAAAGCGAAAGGCATTTGTGATTCGGAGTAAAAAGGAGATACAGTCAGTGGGAGTAAGTTGCTTTAAAATCCTTGCATTTTAACCTCCTGCCGAATCTACTTTAATCCAAATAATACAGCTCAGGTGGGTGTTTTAGAGATACAACTGCTATTGGGTGCTCTATCAGCACCCAAAATTGTCCAGAAAAGAAAGCAGAAGGGGAGAAAGAAAAGGAAACTTCAGGTGGGACTTGGTATTACCTTAATTTCATTATATATCTCTATATATTAGCTACAGGTCTGTTTAAATACATAGGGAGCTTTCTCCCAGAGCTGCCTTACCATTGCTGGCAATTTTGGAGATGCACCGGTGACAAGCTTTCTCCAGGCCGGCCGGCATCGTGAAGCACCTTTTGGGGTGTCTGTGGGGATACAGAAATGAACACAGTTACAAAAATCACAAGCAGTGTCTTCAGCTGACTCAACATCTTAGCCCAAAGTGGCTCACGCACTTCAGCGGGCTTTCACTACCCCAAAAACCCACAAAGCCATATGGGGGGGTCCCCAGAGCCCTGCTTTTGGTTGAGGTGGAGGCAGCACAAAGTTTATTTGACTCTGTGAGAAAGCCCAGCGAAACAGGTACATTTTGCTAAACGACACAAAGCTCTGTGAAGATTATTTGGTGAGCAAAAGCAAATTCAGGGAAGAAAAGGAAGAGGGAGGGGGGAGAGAAAACAGTTTTCAGATCAAGGAAGGTTCTGAAGAGGAACGTGGAATAGAAACTGCAAGCCCCAGGGAGCCCAGAACAAGATGCCTTTGATTAAAAAGTAGCTGGATTAGAAAGCTGCTCTTTGTGACAGAGAATTTTTATGAGGTGGTGTGAGGGATGAGCAACCAGCTAGGCATCCAAGGCCAGGGCATAAGACACCGCTGGACGGTTCAATAGCATCCTGTGTCCGTGGGAGTGTTGGTGGGAGTTCAGAAAGCTCCCTCACACACACATGCCCATGCTCCAAGCCTCCAGGACACCACAGGTCCATCGCCAGCACCAGTGGCATGAATAGGTGGAGAGAAACAAAGCTGCGGATGCTCTGCGGTGCAGGAGAAAGACTGACTAGGAAGGGGCACGTGTGGAGATGGCACAGGAAAGAAGAGCCATCCCTAATCATGCCAAATCTCCCCGTGGTCTGCAGGACCGACCAGACCAGAGGTCTCCTTCAAGCCCCGGGGCCTGTGAGCTCTGTTGCATGCTCAGGGAAAACTGGAAGGATAAAGGGAAACCAGTAGCTTTCACAGCCAAATTTCACCTTAATTTGAAGCCTTAAAACATTAGGTGAAGATTTATTCTTGAAAGTGCACAAGTAGACATTAATTTTGAGTATACTACTGGCTACTGACATAAGTGCTCTAAATTATGCACAGAGATCAATAGGATTCGTCTTTATGCATATCTTCATGCCTGGAATTACCTTGGTGGCAATAAGTCTCACAGAAACCCAATAACAAAATGCCACGTTAAAAGTTGGTTGAGCACCAAATAGCCATGAGCAGATCTGTGTCTGGATAGGAATGCTGTATGTCCATAACCAGAGGGTAAAACGTATGTTTTGTCTAAATTTGCTGTTTTTTTTTACACTACAGGGGGAAAAAAATGGTGAAGACAAAGCGAAGGAGGGCTCGGTGTGTGTGAGCATGTCCCCACCTAGTGATGGAGCCCCGAAATGACGGTGAGCCAGAGCCCTGGCATGCAGTTGTGCCAGGTAAAACTGGGTAAAATCGTGATGGTTACACAGAAATCCTGCTCACACAAGGGCACGGTGCACATAACCACTAGGAGGTGGTGTCAACTCATTCCTCAGACCCTGGGTTTGACTCCTACAGGACTGACAAATCCCTCGGGAAAGCCGGTGTTTGCTGGATAAATGCATTTTTCCCCTTCGCCCCAGCTCGTCAGTGAATCTGCAGGAGTTACCGTGAGTGTTAAAGTTAAATATTTTCCTATTTGCCAGTGCACGAGGGTGCTGGAAGTGCAATTCAGCTGGCAGGCAGCTCAGGAACGGCATTGCCATTGTTGAAAACTATCCCTGCCAAAGCTGAAATGATGGCTGGAGAGTTAGAAAAGTCACATACAATGGAAAATTCAGCCAAAAAGAAAAAAAATAAAAATAAATAAATAATAATAATAATAATAAAGTGAAACACAGCCAGCTTCTGGAACTTCTCCCAGAAGTTGTTCCCTGGGGTCACTACCACAAGGTGACAGCACTACCCTTGCATTCACAGATGCCAGCGATGTGGGGGACAAGTTGCTGAGCCCCTACATCTCTCCACGTTGCCACTTTTTGGGGTGGCAGGTTGCAACCCAGGGAGCACAGAGCCACGGCATCCCTACGCCTCCCGCAGTCTGTCCCAACACCGCTCCTCTGCTCTGTGCCCCCTCTGGAGGTGGCCCTAATGCCATGTCCCACATCACTTTTTTCGTAACTCTGCTCCTTGTCCCCAGCAAGCAGCAGTGATAAGCCTCTGTAGCACAGCCCCTCCAGCCTGGTCTTTTCTTTATTTCAGGCAGTTTTGGCTTTGAACTGTTGTGCTGGTCATTGTTCTCACCCTAAATATTTAGGTTACGAGGGACAAAAGAAAGGACCGCTTCCACACCTGCCCTACAGCATTCAGGCTCTGCTCAAACTTAGCTCTGCCCTTTCCCAGCTTCAGGTGCCCCAGATGGGACTCAGGAGCACAGCAGGCAGATTTGCCAGCACTTCCCAAAACCCCAGCTCCCACCCAAAACTGTCAAAAGGTGCAGGGTCCTGCTGGGACATGGCCAGTGCTCATGGTCCAGCCAGCACCTCCAGGGCAAGGGCTCTTCTCCGAAGGTTGCTAGCAGAAAATGTTTTTTCTTTGTTTCCTTAAAAAAATATCGCAGCCAAGTGAATGTTTAGAGAACAATCTGAATTAAGGTAATTCTAAAGTAATTCCACAGCCAGTTTCCTCCTGACAAACCCCACAGCCCCACACTGGCTTTTACCCCACACGCCTTTCCAGCGCATCCTCCACCTTCCCCCTTACCTGCGAGCTCCGCGGGACCCGAACCCCTTCACCGGCACTCCTGGGAGATGGGGCTGGGGAGCCACAAAATCCAGCCTTGGGCAGAAGCCAGGAGGGAGAGCGTGCTGGGACCCTGCCCGTCGGGATGAGGTGTGGTGAGGGCTTTCAGGTGCTTTTCTTCCTCCTCGTCTCCTGCTCGTGCACCTCTTGGCAGCTGGAGAGGCTGTGGGGTGCGGGATGAGAGATGCGGGATGTGGGGTGCAGGATGTGGGATGAGGGATGTAGGATGAGGGATGTGGGATGTAGGATGAGGGATGTGGGATGCAGGAGCTCTTGCCGTCGGAGCCGATCCTCCTTCGTTTCCCCACTCCCACGGCTGGCTGCAGCCACAGCCCACCCGGGCGGCTCCACAGTGTCAGCAGGGGGAAGCAAAGGGCCCCACAGAGCTGTGGCTGTGCCGGAGGAGCGAAGACAATTCCTTCGCAAAATCTCTTATTAAAAAAGAGTGAACAATGCTTTACGCCTATAATCAGTAGTGAATATTAAGTCCTTAGTCCATCCTTCATGCAATTTCCCCCCTTCTCTTGATGCAATCGACAGAGCTCTTTGCATAGCTAGGAAAGCTGGCTGCTTTTTCTCCTGTGACTACGGGAGAGGTCTGTTTGCTGTCCTGGACAGCCCTTGTTCGGTGCAAGAGAAAAGTGGATCTGAGGGACAGTGCTTCGCCAGGATAAGCGACAGCATTAGTGAAGGTGGATGTGCATTTTGAGCCCTTTCAGAAAGGCCCCACAGAGAAGGGACGAGTGATGAGCTGGCAAAGGGACTGCTCTCGCTCGGAAGGGACAGTCCTGCCTTCAGCTGTCAGGGTGGTGCAGCTCATCCCAGCTGTAATTCCCAGCTTACGGCATTGATAATTGTCAGAAAAATGTACAGGTGGGGGCTTATTATAGCAATAAAGATAATTACTAACGTGGCTTTAGACAGAAGGCTGGAAACTTGGAGAGTTTTGGCTGAGGGACTTTGGCAGCTAAGACAAAGGCTTTTATTCACTGCACTCAAGCAGGAGTTTGAGCACTTAAGTGGGAACCCAGTTCCTCTGTATGGTCAATGAAGAGAGAGGGGAAACTCCCCCAGGCAGCGTGGCTTTGTGTGGTCCCAGTTCTTCTTTGCTATAACCTAATAAAGCTCCTTCTTCCAACAGAAAGCCGCTCTTCCCAGCAGTTCCCAGGCCCTGGCACATCACTGGAAACAGCTGGAACATCAACAAGTCTTGACATTACCTCTTGAGTCTACGCCACCCATCCTCTTTTGGGGTCCTTTCTCTCACCCTCACCAAAAGTGAGTGCTTTTGCTATCAGGGCTTTCTCCTAACTCACTGACTCAGAAGTCGAAATCAACACAAAAACAGTCCCCATCTCCGACATTTGCTGTTATTTTCCAATTGGAAGAATCTGACTTGGTTTTCTTAAGTGCTGCGTGTGATCGGGGATGTCACATTTTCTTGTAAAAAATGTCCTCATACATTGAAATACAAACAGCCCATGGGAAAGAAATTCAGTTTACATTTAATTTCTTCCACTGTTCAAGGCAAAAAAAAAGTATACTTATGTGTTGAGAAGAGTTCTGCTAGCTCAGGGGAAACCAGTCATCAGTACTGACTTACCAGCTTTTTAATGACCAGCTGTAGGGATCCCAGAAATTATGGCATTCAATCATCACAAAAGATCACGGCGAAAAATAGCTGGGACCAGGAGTCCCTGTGGGAAGCGCCACCCGCGCTGGTTCTAGCTAATCAGCAGTGACACTTTGGGGTGCCATTAAACTGCTCGATTCTGGTGCTTTTAAAGGAAGATTTCAGGCAGCTTTGAGGAGATGCTGACTGTGGCCTGCTGATAGTGCCGTCAGGGTGGTGAATTGTCGTCCTTGGCCCAAAGTCTCTGAGCAGTGTGAGCCAGGAGGTCACCGTCTCCATCTCCTGGGATGTCAGGGAGCTGCAGAGCTCTGTGCAAGGAGGACTTTGTGAAACGCTTCTGCCTGTTGATACACAGCAAAATCAGACAAGGCACTTTCTTCTCACCCACATCACAATGGAGATTTTTGTGCGTGTGACTGTCACAGTAAGTTACAGAGCGGCCTGAAGCCTGCCCCTGTGGCTATTTCGGCTCCCCAGCTTCTTCCTCAAAGCCTGTCTCGGGGAAGCGAGCTGTATTTGCTGGTCTCCATGGCAGTTTACTTGGCCAATTTCCAAGAGACAAAGCAGAAAATGAGAAAATCACAGAATCACAGAATTTCTAGGTTGGAAGAGACCTCAAGATCATCGAGTCCAACCTCTGACCTAGCGCTAACAGTCCCCACTAAACCATATCCCTAAGCTCTACATCTAAACGGCTTTTAAAGACTTCCAGGGATGGTGACTCCACCACTTCCCTGGGCAGCCTTGTTCCAATGTCTAACTATGTGCTTCCCACTTCTCCTTACTCAGGGCAATTTATCCTAATGTATATATCCTAAGAAATAGATGGAGAAAGGACCAAATGTACTGGATAACCAATGGGAAGAGTAACTTTAATAACATCTGGATAGCTTCAAATATGCAACCCACAAGCAGAGGAGGATTACATTTGCCTAGGAAAGTAGATTATGAGCTACAAAGATACCAGCTGTGGCTAAGGACATCTGCAAGCCTCTAGCCCTGGGTGCTGGGAGATCATCCTAAGAAAGTACCAGGAGGTGTTTTCTGGGTCTGGAGCCTCTGCCCAGGTCAAGGTGTTCTGGCCTCATTTGCTTGTGCCTTTGATGCTTCAATGACTCTATCAAATGGGTAAAGTGACTAAAATAATGACTTCCTCAGGAACGTGCGCTGTTTTCCTGTAGAGAATAAAGAGCTTTCTGTCATTTGTATTGAATTGCATTCATCACAGGTTGTCATTCATCACTGGCAACTCGGGAGGTGAACCTGTGAGATGTCCTGGGCAAAGAAAGCTTCCCATGAAATAATGCATGAAGTGATATTAAAAGTCCAGTCCTCATTGCCACTGCTACCTACCAAAGTAACAAATTGTGCAAATTAATCTGAGCAAAATTCACCCATAAGCCCTGAATATTAATCAGGAAATTCCTATGTTCTTTAAACTTGCAGTAATAGAAAGTGGAATTACTTAAAATATGAAAACCAAGGCTCCTGCTGAGGTCCATGTATTTGTTTGTGCCACTGTGGAGATGCTAGACAAGTGTGTAGGGTTTGTAAAATCCTTGGAGAATCCCTCAAAAAATGGAGAGGGGGAAAAAAAAGGATTAGCTCCAACAACAAGGGCATCATAAAGCTACTGAACATTTCTCTCTTAATTGTGCTTCGTGCTAGAGAATAAGGGAAAGTTATCACAGCTGAATAAAACGCTGAACTCTCTTAGCAGCAAAACGCCTCATTTAGTATAATAGCGGGAATAAACCTCTCAGATCTAAAATATGGTTGACAAAAACACAAAAAGTTAATAACTCATAAAGGTTTTACAAACAATGAAAAAAGCCAAAGCCTGTAAAGTTACTACGCATAAAATATGATAATCTAAAGCAGCAGTTTAATTTGCACTTCTGCAGATCAGAGCTGATATTCCCACTGTACACAGCCATAAATAAAATATATTGTTCCGCTGACGACAGACGAAAACACCGTGCATTTTCATGTGTTTTATGTGATTTTTTTTCACTTATAAAATACGCCTTTTGCCACCTGTCAGTGCATTTATCTCAGAGGATAACAGAACAAGCTTGACACCATATCTGTTAGCAGGACTGATGACACTAACCCTCCAGAGGCACGGACCAAAGCTTTCCTTGTAGTCTTATGGGGAAACAACCATTCATTTATTGTTGAGTGATTACAGTGTGCAATAAAAAGTTGGTGAAGAGTTTCAAAGCAGGAATACTGCAGAACAGTTGAGTGACTCCAAACAGGTGGAGGATGGGGTTGACTGCAGCACTCAGATACATGGAGTCGGGAATCTCTGGTGCAGTTTTCTACCCACGAATTTCCACTGGGGCCAGGGGAGAGCAATTAGGGTCATGCTGGAGGTGCTAGACTCCCATATGAGGGAGAGAACCTGCAGAAATAACCCTCAGCTCTGCGTATGTTTGTGTGTGTGTGTGTGTATTTAGGTGTGAGGTGGGAGTCCCAGCTCATGGGTTGCTTGTGAGAAAGGGGCTTCAGCCATGAATTTCCACGTGCAGAACATAGCCTTGTCTCACGGCTGGAGAAGAAGGCATCCAGAGCAGGACCAAGGGCATGTTCACCTGCACGGAGCACAAGAGGAGGAGAGCATTGTCCATGGAGCAGATAACGAGGAAAGACAGAGCTCAGCACCAAGGAGGAGTGTGAGTGTTAAGCAGGTGAGGGAGACAATAAGGGTCAATGAAAGCCTTCGCAAACAAAATGCCTTCTGCAATGGTGATGTTTCCTTCCAGGCCAGTTTCTATTTCATCAAGAGTCCAAGAGGATCCCCTGTGGTCTCCAAAGTCTTGCTCTGCAAGGAGAAGGTTCTCTAGACACCTGGACATGCTCTTTGGGTCTCTTCAAGAACTCCATGTATCCTGAGTTTCAGGTACCAAATCCAATTTTAGATCTAGTTGCAGATGTATGAAAGCCAGGTTAGGATCCAGCTCAGCCTGGAGCTAGAGTAAATTGGGCTTCTGGCTGGTATGTGAGCAAGCAGACTCACTTGTGCAAATGGTCCAGTTTTTGGTGGAATGCTAGGCCAATCATTGCATCTCCTGTTTCAGAGGTGTGCTATCATTTGAGGCCCAGTTATGAATTCTACTGTCCCAAGGGTTTTATTTTTATTTTGTGAGTGAGATATGACAGTGTCTGTTTGGGCTGCATGAGTACCTCAATTCTCAGCAGATGGCACTATCCTCAAAGGTTGACTCTGGGAGGCACAGGGGAGGACCAGGTCCAAAGAGGAGATGTAGAGGCGTTTTTATGAAGTTTGGGTACATAAGCAAGTTCCCAGTACATGGCTGGCAAGCTGCAGCCGCTGGTGCACAACCTCAGCCTGCCCCAAATGGGTCAAGAGTGGGACAAGAAGTCACGTTCCCCTGGGGAGAACACTGCTCTGAGTGCCTCCAACACAGCCCTTGGGGGAAGCACCACGTCGGTGCAGTGATCACACAAGATCAGCAACCCCATTCATATGGGCACAGGTGTGAATATGGGCTGGGGGTGCCTTGTGTTCTCACACCATCTCTTCAGGAGCAGCACTTCTGCTTCCTTGGTCCATGGATCCCCTCTGCAATAACAGCTTGCTCACAGGCTTCGTTCACGTTTCCCACATGGCACAAACCAAAGAGCTGTGTCAGGACTGGCAATTCCTGACACAAAGAAATCGATTTAAAATTCAACATAATCCATCATTGGAATGGAGAAATAGAGTGGGAAGAAGGAGCAGGAGGGATGGGGGCACAAAGCAGAGGTGCTGGATGTCTTGCTGTTAACAACATGCTGTTCTGCTCTACATCTGCTTTAGCTTTGCTTTTTGTTTTGGTCTGAGAGTAAGCAGAAGACTGAGATAACTGAGGTGCTTTTATATCTTGATCCTTTCTTATTCAGAGGAGGAAAAGAGAACAGCAGCAAAGGAGATACTTGGCATACATGCTGGTGATTGCAAGTAGCACAGCCAAAGCTAGTTTCAAGGGACACCAGATTCAATACAGGCCTCGAGTAGGGTCCCCAGCAGAAACCCAGCACAGAAGGATGATCTCACTGCTCTGCTTCCTCAGAGCAGCAGAACTTATTGAGGTTATTGAACTTCTTTACTGAAAGGGTTGTTAGACATTGGAAGGCAGACTAATCTTGTCCTTAAAGCATGTCTCCAAGTTAGCGGGATACCCAGGCCTCTGAAAGTGAACTAAGTCCAGAGCACATCAGGAGTCCCTCGGCAGGATGGGAAAAAATCCAAAAGAGGAAAATATTAATGAGGTACAAAATCTGCTTTCTCCATTCCTTGCAGCACGGCTACTGTCTAATGGCTTTTGAACATCACAGATGCTTATGACCTTATTGCTCTTTACAGATACCTTAAAGGAGGCTGTAGTGAGCTGGGGGTTGGT